CCAGCAAAGGAGCCCTCACTGTGGTTCTGTTCCGTTCTGTTCTGGGTCCTGATAATTCTGGGTTCTGGGTCTAATATTTTAGTCCGCTCACCCGCGCAATCCCAGTCAGCACCCAAGCAAGCAGGCGAACCAGGGGAGACTGGACGTGCTCCACCACAGCTCGCGGACCCTGACAGCGCCCGGGGGGCCATTACAAAACATCATCGCGTCCTTGCCTTTCCATCTTTTCCTTGCCTGCCTAGTCTATAGAGTCGAGTCGTGTTACATGTCGACGACCGATCACTAACGCGGGACTCTCCTCCATGCAGCATCCGGCGCAGCATCAGCCACAAGGTCCTTCGCCTGCTCAGCTGCAGCACCACTCGCGACCCTCGAGCGTTGTCCACCAGCAGCACCACGCCCAGGCAGCACACCCGCCTCCTCCACCCGTGGCCGCGTCGCAGCCTCACCACACGCAGCAGCAGCAGCAGCAACAGCAGCAGCAACAGCAGCAGCAACAGCAGCAGCAACAGCAGCAGCAGCAGCATCCTCACCACGCCCAGCCAGCAGCTGCGCAGCATTCCCACCAGGGCGGATACTCCTCGTCGACTAGTCACTCGCTTGCCCAACCTTACCAGTCTCACACCAACGGCCAGCACGCGCACCACGCCCAAGACACGACCGTTCCCTCCTACTACAGCCACCACAGCTCCTACAACACCCCGAGCGCGAACGGCGGATACGCTTCCGCAGGTACGTGACCATGTCCGACTGCAACGAGCAAGAGCAAGAGCAGAGCAGACGCGCCGAGAGACGCGCCCTGGCCGCCTTGTCAATCGAAGCAGATGGGAAAGACTCGAGACGGGAACAAGGAGCACTCACTGACAAATCGCACAGACACCACCGAGATGATGGCCGCAGCACAGATGCCGCGCCCTCCCTACCCGCCCATGTCGTACCACACGCCGCAGAGCAACTCGCCTGCCTCGGTGCCGTCGCCCTCGCAACACGACCAGCACCGAAGCATCTACGGCCAGCCGCCCTCGCAACACATGCAGCAGTCCATGTACTACTCCCACCAGCCTCAGTACCAGTCCATGCCACCGCAACCGACCGCCTCGCCGTACGCCCAACATGCGCAGCACCCGCAGCAGCCCATGACGTCGCAACCGAACATGATGATGTCGCATCCTGCTCCTCATAACCCCATGAGCCAGCATGCGCCACATCACGCTCAGCACCCGCAGCAGCAGCAGCACCCGCAACATCCCCAGCACCAGCAGCACGCCCAGCAGCAGGCCATGGCCCACAGCCCCCGGCCCAAGATCGAGCCACATGTGCCTCTACAGCTGCACAAGCCGCAGTCCTCCCCCATGCCCCAGCATCACCAGCCCCAGAACGGGCAGCAGCAGGGGCAGCTCCAGAGCCCGGGCGGTGGCGCGGCAGGCGTCAACCCCAACGCGGCGCCGGGTCCCATCCCGGCCACGACGCCTCCCGTCGTCAGGCAAGACGGCAACGGGGTGCAATGGATCGCGTTCGAGTACTCGCGAGACCGGGTCAAGATGGAGTACACAATCAGGTGCGACGTCGAGTCGGTGGACACGGAGAGCTTGTCACCCGAGTTCAAGCAGGAGAACTGCGTCTACCCGCGCGCCTGCTGCCCCAAGGACCAGTACCGCGGAAACCGGCTGATGTACGAGACGGACTGCAACCGCGTGGGCTGGGCGCTGGCCCATCTCAACATGCCCCTGCGGGGCAAGCGAGGTCTGATCCAGAGAGCCGTCGACAGCTGGCGGAACAGCAACTCGGACCCCCGGCTACGGAGTCGCAGGGTGCGCCGCATGGCCAAGATGAACACGCGCAAGTCCGTTGCGTCGTCGCCGCACCCCTCGTCCGCGTCCATGACCACCGTGCCCGGCGGCCAGCCAGGGATGCCCGCCGGACCCGGACCCATGGCGTCCTCGACCGGAAACCACATGGGCAAGCCCAACCTGGCGGGCATAGGTCAGCAACCCATGCACCACCACCACCAACACCCGGGAGGCCACCACGACGGTGCCCAGGGCGGGGCCGATGAAGTTGGTATGTTCCACCACCAGATGTGATATTTAACACGAGCCCATGCGGATGTTTATCTGTTACTTCTTGCACTGCATTGCACTCATACCGCGCTGCACATATACCCCTCTGTTACCCACCCGTCCCGCGCGTCACTGTCCTGCTTTGCTTTGCTTGCTGTTATTATTGGAGTTGTCACTGCTTGTCGATACCATGTCACGTCAGATTCGTCGTTGGAAAAAAAGTACTCGTTGCGTTACATCTTCTTCTCTTCTTTGTCAATACAGGCAGGGCCTCTTTGTGTACTTCGACCGCGCGCTCTAGTATTATTTTCTGTGGAGGGACGTCGGAGGAAGAGAGCGAGGGCGAGTCAAAGAATGGCAACGGGAGAGGCGAACGGGCACACGAGAACAAGTGAAACTACGGAATCTGGGGGGCTTAACTGAAGAATTTGTTCTGCAAGATGCATACCTGCTACAACATCTTGTACATATATCGCCAAGGCGATCATCCCCCGTTTGGACGAGCAATCTGCTTTCTGCTTTTTCTGCTTTTGCTTTTTCCCGCTCCTCATTGCACACCTAGTACTCAACCTCATTGCTTCCGACTTTAGAACACTCACTAGACTCGGCGCTAACCATAACTTGTGCAATAGGGGATGGACACTCTTATGATCATCACCAGGCTCAACAGGCTCACCACCACAGCCACCACCACGCCGCGCCCCCGACACACGGTCAGCCTGGCGGTGCCGACGACGTGAGACAGGCGCAGGTTTTCACCGGCTACGCCAGCCAGGGCTATCCTGCTAGCGGCCCCGGAGGCTCCATGTCTCACATGGCACCACATTCCAGCTCCGCGGTCCCGGCGCGCCGTCACGAGCGAGCAGGTGCCGACGACCAGGGTGGCTTGTTCCCCGACATGCCAGAGGCGAGGAAGCGCAAGTTCATCCTCGTCGAGGACAATGTGCGCGGCTCGCGGCTGCGCGTGCGCGTCACCCTCGACGGTGTCGACACCAACGAGATCCCCGACAGCTTCCGCAAGAGCGGCAGCGTCTACCCGCGCAGCTATTTCCCCCGCGAGATGCAAAGCCCGCCACCCAGTGCCACGGGCTCGCACTTCTTCCCCGAGGACGTCGAGGACGACGGCATCCAGGAGACGGAGGGCCGCCAGGTCGGTCGCCCGGGGCGCACACGCACGGTCAAGGTGCCCATGGGCAGCGACCGCGACGGCGAGGCGGCGATTCCTCGGACGCGACGCTCCACCCGCGCGCAGGAGACCAAGCTGAACGACCTCGGCTACCGCATGGCATGGCTCCAGAGCCGCGTCTTCTCTGGGCGCACCATCTTCCTCCAGCGGGCCCTCGACTGCTACCGCAACAAGACGCGCACGGCGATCGAGGGCGCGCAGGCCGACGTGCGGGCTGTCGCGCCGCACTTCGAGACCCGTCGGGGCAGGCGCCGCTGGGTTGACCGTGGGAGTCGCCGCGAGAAGAGGGACGACTGAGTGCGGCGATGGGTTACCTGACCTGGCTGCTTTTCTATCTGGCGAAAAAAGAACATACTGACACATACACACACACACACAATTTCCGCGCGAACCACACTGCTTTTTACGATACCATTCTGCGAATGACGACACATTGCGTCGATCTTCTGGCTTTACGTGCCAATATTTTTTGAGACTTTTTTACCAATTTTCCCGCGTTGGCACGAGTACATATCTGGTTTCTTGTCCTATGTGCCCTCCCCCTCCTTGTAGGGGGGGACCATGGTGTTGATTGGGTCTACTGCATTTGGCACAAAGAAAGTCTGGGACGGAAGAAAGAAAAAAACACCAAAGAAAAAGGAGGGTGAGATTGTATGAATGGATGGACACAAGAGTCGAGCGTCATAGAAGGGGGCTTTTGTGCCATGACACTTTGCATCGCAGCGCGACGACGAATAGAAGGGGATGGTTGAAGGGAGAGTGATTAGAGAGAATGAAGGACATATGCCGTTATTGTGAATCGGACAATGGTGCCCCTATGGAAACCTCAACGTTTGCCAATGGAGTTTTCGATCATGGTGTCGTGGTCTTGTTCCTGGTATGGGAGTCGTCGAAGTTATATCCTTGCGCGTGATCACACCGACGATAGATGATGCATGTGATCGAGTCGTTGGCGCACGAACGGGCAGAAGTCATCTCAATTTTGGATTGAGCCCGGACTGAAGTATATTTATAGACTGATCGAGTACATGCTCGACTTGGATCCCTATACAATTATCTCTCACGTCGCTCCGTGAACATTGTGGAAGATACGTTGGTCTCCGGATAGGATTGCATGTGACAGCCTTGTGCATGGGCGACTAAGCTGCATCATCACTTAATCTGCTAGGAATATATCCATGAGACACATCTATTGAACAGATAAAATTGACATTGCAACCCGGGAGTAATAAAGAGTCATGATGCCTCTTGGAACGATGTAGTCGAGTTTGCTACGGATAGAGGCTGCCATGCTGCATGCGTGCCATCTTGCTGAGAAAGACGCCATGACGACAAGAAAAAGGGGTAGAACCACAAAACAATGGTATTGTGTTAATTAGTGCGAACAATAAAGTTTGGATCGACATGAACACCGGATTCAGCGCCGCCAAGATGGGCGAGATTGATAACAAGACCGGGGGTTTTTCAAGGGACGGATGCGCGTACTGCGTACTGCAACGATCACTGTATGCTGCATGCATTAACGCTGGCTGGCTCGAGCTGAGCCTCGCGAGCTGGAGCTTGTGCGGCGGCAGGGAAGTGCCTGCCACCACCACGTGCCTCCAGTCCATGTCCTCGTGGCTGGCGTGCATCGCCTCCCGCTCGTCTATCCTCATGCCGTGACATAGCCCAACAATTCCGAATACACACCCTTGCGAACGTGCACCTCACTGCGAACGCGACAGAATCAGCCTCCTGCTCGAGCGCGAGCCAGCATGGCGCACCACCAACGACATCATCCCGGTGGCAGCTACCCCCCACCACTCTTCGTCGCAGAACTCGATGGCAGCATCCCACACACGTCGCCAGACGGCGCGCCCGTCTTTGAGATGCCGGCAGAGCCATCTCCGAATAGCCAAGTCGACAGCCACAGCCAACCCAAGAAATCGGAGCGACAGAACTCTGACACCCCAGCCCAGGCCAATCCCTGGGCATACTTTGGGCCAAGCGACGACAGCGCGTCCGTAGTCACGCCGACACCCACAAACCGACCACCGGCAGAGCGTCACGATTCTGCAAGCAATAGCGCCGCGGCGACGGCTACACAGACGGAGCAAGGTGGACGTCAAGGTCACGCAGGATATGGCTCAGAGACAATGGTGCCCACCATGACTGGCGAATCGAGCATCTCGGCAACCGACTATCCATCAAATCTACGACCGGAGACTGTGAGCCCAGTCAGTCCCTCTGCTGGACCCAGTGCGTATTTCCCACCGCCGTTGAATATCAACAAGCCAGCCCAGCCTCAGTCTCCACCACCGCAAGACACCACTTCGTGGAAGTACAAGCCATACAAGCCATATTCGCCTGGGACGGAAGGCCATGATGCTTCACAACCTTCCCGATACCAGGATACCAGCAGCCCTTCCAAGGCAGGAGCAGCGACGGTGAATATGGTCTACAGACCGTATCGTCGACCGTCCTTCAAGGAGCCGCCGCAGGAGGAGCAGAGACACTCTCCATCATCCCTAGGACATACCTCTCCACGACCACAGCACGAGTCGTCAGTAGGCTCACCGGGTGCACAGCCGTGTTCTGAAGGCATGGCGCCCCATCATATATATATGGCACCAACACCCCAAGCTCCAGAGCATGATCAACCAAGTCTGAGTCCGAGGCTTGGAGGGGCACCTTTTCATGGGGTATCTCCAGCCACGCCACCGCGGCCCATGGAAAATGTCTCGTGGCCTCATCCGCAAGGTGTAGTGTCACCCGTGCCTTCTCAATCACCCCCAGCATCCTCCCCGAAACCTCCTGCAGATGCCTACCAGCACTCTCTGTCGCCGACATTCCCAGGTTCCGGCGCCGGCTCTCCAGGTCACAACTATGCACATTCGCCGCCGCCGCCGCCATCTTCACAGTCGCCATCAGCCCTGAACGCAGGCAGACGCACGCCCCAGCCATACTCTATTGCGGCGCCGGTGCCTGCTTCATCAGCGAGCTCGCCACGACCAGAACACCAAACATCTCAGTCAAGTCTGCCAGCATCACCACAACCATCCAAGTTCGCTACACTACCCGACGAACCCGCTCTTCCAAGCTCTCCACCACCAGCTTATGCCGACATTGCACCTTCTGGATCAAGTACACAGCCCCCGGCAGACGTGAAGGCCTCCATATTCCCACAAGCGCCGTCATCCTTCTCGGCACCGCAGACTCCACATGGGCATCAATCCCCTCCGCCGCCGACACATCCCACATCTCATCGGCCTTCGCCGCCCGTTAGCCATGCATCGTACGGAAGTGCGACCCCCCAACCACTCTCAGGCAGCTCACTTCATCCGCCCCCGCCTCTGCCACCCAGACCAAGCTCTTCTGGCGGACCAGCGCGGCCAGTTCCTGGCTTCTCTGGGCAACCAGTGCCAGCGGCGTACCCCGCGCCTCCGAAAACGTATTATACGCCCCAACATCAACCGCCCCCGGGAGGCTACTCACGACCGTCTACCGCCGGGACCAGCAAATTGTTCGGAGGCTCGGCCAAAAAGTGGCTCGACAAGACTAATAAGCTCGTGGAGAACAAGGTGGGCGAAATCTTGCAGAACCACCCCGACCCGAAATATAGACCGCAACCCGGGCAGTATGGGTACCATGGGGGACAGTCAGGCTACGCGGGACCAGCGTCGTCTGGGTCATATGTTACGGGACAGCCATATCACGGGCCGCCTCAGACACAGGCACAGGCGCCTCAGGAGCACTACCCAACGCAGCCGCAATACGCCCACCCTCAAGGTCCACCACCTCCCGGACCAAGGCCTTAGTTCTCAATATTGAATTTTGTATGAGAGAGCGGATCTAGCATAGCATATGATATAGCATTGCATCGCATGTTGGTGTTCAGTGGGCAACATGGGGATATATCTATTTCGCCTACCCGGGATTCAACGTGCCCCTCTGAACTCTGCGCACAACTTGCTACCAAATCCTCCGAACGTCCACGTGACCCATGCGCGCTTATGCCGGAGGGAGTCTGGAAGGGATGATCGACATGTCTCGACTGACTTTTGTCGCCTGCCAAGGCATGAAGAGAGCTGCATGGACCATATTATAATTTATCGCCGCTTACTCCGTACATTACGGCCGCACCTTGCTACATATCCTGATTGTAATCCTGAAACTGTGGTTACTGTGCATATACGTAGTACGTACGCGCCTTGAGGCATGCCTCATGTCTTTATCAAGGCGCGCGACAATGTTCCGACTCTTGGACAGCTGCGCCCTGCAACGTGCATATGCCTCCCACAGATGACACTATTTTCGGCATCACGACGCTGATAGGCTTTAGCAAGTTGTAACTAAAAATTAGCCGCCATCACCGACCAGAATAGGTGGGCCCTCCCCTCCTCTGTAAGGCGGGCCGCAACTTGGGTGTCAAGCTGTTTGTACGATAGAGGTTGCAAGAAGGGCGGGTTTCACATCTACGTTGTAGTACAGAGTACTCAAATTCATTCACCGGTGCGTCCTCAATACTGGAAGATCCGTGAAGGAGGGAAGTGCAGGTCTAGGTGGTGAGGGGTAAGGCGTTGACCAGCTGACCGGCTCAGAAGAAGCAAGAGGGCTGCCAGCTTTCGAACAAAAGGGCCTTGATACGTGAGAGCACCTTGGGATAACAAGGCTTCTAGATGCGGGCAAATGTTCTCCGGGCAAGGCAGTTTGTAGTCTCGGAAAGGGCGATGCCAAGCCGTGGAGGCGGTGGAGGGTATCGTTGATGCGGTGTAAGTGAGAGGAGGTGGCGGGTGCTGGACAGATAGATCATAGACATTCTAGGTGGCTTCGCCGCTGCCTTTCCATTTGCTGGCTTCACCGGTGGCGCCAGGAGGAATGGTTGGTCTTATTGCCTGAGGGCCGACAACTGGTACACCTCGGAACAAGCTGCAATGACGGCCCTCCTCGACGATAGTGGTTGCGTCGTCGAGAAGTGAAGTGCAAAACCCCCCCAAAGAGGTGATGGGGTTTTGACGCACAAGCGTGACCTGTACGTAGATCGATCGGCAAGCCAGGTCCTGTGACAGCTGACCGACCATAGGCAGGCTGAGCGGCGACTGAAAGGTATCACGGCGTGATATTAGGGCTCTTTTGGACGTACCACGACATGTAATAGGATTCTCGGTGCTGTGCTACGGATACGCCGCGAGCCTCGCGAGTCAGCAACCATTTCATCATACGTATTCGTTCACTCTCGCCGGTTAGGCTTGACGACCTGGTCGTTGACTGCACGCTGATTGTTTGGCGATGAGAGACGGAAGTCGCGCGGATTGCATATGCAGGTCGGTATTATCACTTTGGATGGGAAGGATAGCAGTGTTGGTTGAACTTGTTGGTTCCTTTTCTCAGCTGCCAGCTTGTTTCTGCTGCACCGCGAGTGCTGTGAGCCCCAAGGTCTTGGCATCCGCAGATTGCCCTGACACAAGTACCTCCTCCTCCTCCTCGGTACGGATGGTAATTAGAGCAATTGACGCACCCACGAGTCGGTGAGCAAAGTGGCGCAACGAGCAAGCGAGAAAAGGGGCCGGCTCCGTTCCTCAATGTACCGAATATTCGACTCCAAGGATCAACCCGTTGTAGTAGGTGGCTGGCAGTCAGACGACGTGGTTACAGAGGTGAGTTATTAGGAGGTCTCATAAGACGAGACCCACTGCTGAGAAGCCCAACGTTGAAGCCCAAAGCCTCAACAACCCAAAAGATGGCCGGCAGGGCGGGAGAAGGAAGGAAGGTTGCCCTTGGAAGGACATCAATAGACAAACACTCTGTCGGTGCAACAATGACTTCTTATCCTATCACCGTAGCACCGGCGTCTGTATTTGCACTTGTACCTCCAGTCCTGTCTCTCGGAACCGCATTGGCTGTGATAACGCCCAGCATTTATAGGATGAATCAATGCTGATCTGGTCGTACGCGCCCTTTTGAGACGCTCCCAGCCACTGTACCCGTGTGGTCGTCAGCTGCCCAACCCCCATCAGGTGCCAGAAGAGGCCCCTGTGGACCCGTCCAGTCCACTGTAAATCGTCGCCGGGCCCTGTCTGCCGGCTGGTCCTTGGGCTCACGAGCACCAGACCAGACAGACTCCAAGCCGGCTTGCCCGCCGCCCCCCTTCCCCCTTCCAGTCTTCGCCTCCAGCTAGTCCCGCTTGCCGCCCTTTCATCAATCTCTTCTTCTCCCGTCCTTTTCCCTCCCTCGCTTCTCGTAATCGACCTCCACACCACTCTCAAAACTCCCTCCTGCCGACCCACGCCACACACACCGTGACTTCGCGTTCCTCAACTCTCTCGAGGTTCGAGTCCCATTTCTCAACCTCTGCACCCACGACTCCCGATTGAGGGCATCGCCAGATTTCCGCCGACGCGTCTGACTTGCTCCCTCAATCCCAAGCCACTGCAGGTACGTCAGCCTCTTCTATTGCCTGGAAACATCACCGCCTGCCTCGCTGCACTTTGCTGTGATGCCATCGTCGGGGCAGGCTGGCATGGGAAACACATTTTTGGTCCGACTCTGATTCACTGTCACTGTTACCCGAACTTGTCAATGAGCCACGTTTGCCCGATGATGAGGACACGCTCTGGGTTTCGCACACACCGTCACCCAACCAACCTCGTTCCTCCTGCATCCATCCATCCATCCATTCATCCATAACTACGATCGGTCCTCGAATGTGCTGCTAACATTGCTTTAGCCATCAGTCTGCAAGCTTGTATCTACATCCCCATCAACCAACACCCACCTAATACTGCCTCGCTCCCCCGCGGATCGAGACCACCGACCTCACGATGACAACAATGGTACGCCGACTCGATTCGAACAAACCACCGCAAACACAGGGTTCGTGAGCACTGACAAGCAATACAGGATCTCCGCGTCGGTAACAAATACCGCATCGGTAGAAAGATTGGTTCTGGTTCGTTCGGAGATATTTACCTGGGCACCAACATCATTTCTGGAGAGGAGATTGCCATCAAGCTCGAGTCCGTCAAGGCCAAGCACCCCCAGCTGGAGTATGAGGCACGCGTCTACAAGTCTCTTGCTGGCGGTGTCGGCATCCCCTTTGTCCGCTGGTTCGGTACCGAGTGCGACTACAATGCCATGGTCCTGGACCTCCTCGGCCCCAGTCTGGAAGACCTCTTCAACTTCTGCAACCGCAAGTTCTCGCTCAAGACTGTCCTTCTCCTCGCCGACCAGCTCATCTCGCGTATCGAGTACATCCACGCCAAGTCGTTCATCCACCGCGACATCAAGCCCGACAACTTCCTGATGGGTATCGGCAAGCGAGGTAACCAAGTCAACGTGATCGACTTTGGTCTCGCCAAGAAGTACCGCGACCCCAAGACTCACTTCCACATCCCCTACCGTGAGAACAAGAACTTGACCGGTACTGCCCGCTACGCTTCCATCAACACTCATCTGGGTGTCGAGCAGTCTCGCCGCGATGATATGGAGTCGCTGGGCTATGTCATGCTCTACTTCTGCCGTGGCTCCCTGCCTTGGCAGGGTCTGAAGGCTGCCACCAAGAAGCAGAAGTACGACCGCATCATGGAGAAGAAGATGACTACCCCCACCGAGGTTCTTTGCCGTGGCTTCCCCAACGAGTTCGCCATCTATCTCAACTACACCCGCTCGCTCCGCTTTGACGACAAGCCCGACTACAGCTACCTCCGCAAGATCTTCCGCGATCTGTTTGTCCGCGAGGGTTTCCAGTACGATTACGTCTTCGACTGGACTGTCTACAAGTACCAGAAGAACGCCCAGGCCATTGCCCAGGCTGCCCAGAACCCCGAGGACGAGGAGAAGGCCCGTGCCGCTCGCAACGCCGCTGCTGGCGCGTCCGGCTCCAAGGCCGCTCCTGCAATCAACAGCTCCCGCCGTAAGATGCTTGAGCGTGGCTCTGGCGCTGGGGTCGACTCCCCCGACACTGGCCGTGCCATTGGTGGAAGTGATAGGATGTGAGTACCCCTTGCTGTCTCCCCTTCTCTGCTCCCGCAAGAAGGAATCTCATTTCCTTTCGCGCGTTGAGTGTGCTTTATACCGCTTTGCCGAAGGGAAATTTGCTGACAAGTATTGCTGACTCAGTGGACAATGAACAGGCTCCGCTCAGCATCAAAGGGCACTGGCTTCGTCTCCCGCCCTAAATGATGTTTGAACCCAGCCCCCCCCCCTCCTCCAACCTGCAGGACCACTTGAGCAACTGGCAATAGAATCGACGGCCTCTGCTATACCACCAGAAATCGACCCTTACTCCGTACACGATGCAGTCACCCGGCAAACCATGTTGACACAACGTCAACAGACTGCTACGAGCAATGTTGGCGATATTGGTAGACTGGCATCGATCACGCTCCTCCTTTTCTTTATGCGCTGCAAAATTATGTTCTTCGCCTCAGTTTTGAGGATGCATTGGCTCGGACGACTCAGGATTCCGGATTGACCATGCTGGTGGGTGGCTTGCAAAAGCCGCTTGCCTAGCACAGGCACCGGGACTTGGAGGTCAGTCTGAACGGCTCTTCCGGTGTTCTTCTTGGCTAGGAACACCGTACGCATCGGATCGCGGTTGCCTCTGCCGCCCTGTGTGCAGATCGAGTCGACAAACCAAGCGCTTCGATGCGATTCAGCAGCGTCCTTTGGTCGAACATTTCCTACTTTCATACATGTCTTCGGTGACTTTGTGTGCTTTTCTCCGCCCTCTCTTACTTCGTCTATGGCACTGGCATCACGGATCCTGGGTGTGGAGAGGAAAGTCTCGAATAGTCGGCCGATCTGTTGCTCGGGGCCAGCTTTGGAAGCCTCGCTGCATACCGGTGCTGCAGTCACGATTTTGGGATTTTGAGGATCCAAGGGTTTGCCTGGAATGTGGACGAGCTTCGCGGCATTCATTCGTGATGCGGAGTATGGCCGCTTAAATGAGCCACGGGCAGCGTCGAGACTTCCAGTCAACTGAGCTGTCTAGCAGCACAAGTCTTTGCAAGCCCGAGCCGATCTGTCACAATGAGGCGCGCCCTTCATAGCACAAATCTTCCCCCCAGACTGGCCGATTACATGCCTCACGAGATTGATAGTTCACACAATTATTATCGTGCCATCACTTGCGTCTCCGCGTTGTGCTGTATGTCTTCGCATGGTCAAATGTGAACCCAATTTAGATATTAGGCCGTCGTTCTAACTGTAAATGCCGTGACACAGCTGAAGGATACTTTGCTCGCGTAATTGTTCTCTTAAAGTTTGCGCTGGGACTGCTGGCTGGACCACCTTATTAACTTTCCTTACCTTGATGAAGCGAAGACCCTCCGCGTCTTTTTTTAGATCACTTACCCTCGATATGCTGATACAAAGGGCTAAGACTCGAAACACTTTCTGCGTTTGCCCATGCAGCCGCAAAGGTATCGGTCGATTCAACATGTCGGGGCGCTCATACCCTGGATAGCGTCGGTTCCGAGGGCGGGATGGTGGGCGTGATGGAAGGGACGTGCAGGGATCGGCGCGCAGGTGGGCGCTCCCGTTCACGACTTCGCCCTCTGAGCGTCGTCCATCCCCACCAACCATCGTCATCATCTTCCCTTTGGGCCCTGGTTTCGAATGACCAGGACCATGGTCACGACTAGAGCTCAAGCCGACATGGCGCCTTCAGCACTTGACCTCCTAGTCTTGACCCTGAATTGTGCAAAAGAGCTCATCAACGTGGGCATCTTTGCCAAGCATCTCCAGACAGCACTGTTGAAAGAAGGCGGCGGGTCGACGCTGCCCGACGTAGTAGTCTTGTAAGTAGACATCTCACCATGCACTGGGACCCCGACTAATGCAAGAAAGCTCTCTACAAGAAGTCGCGCCGCTGGGGTATTCCTTTGTGGGAGGATACTTCCTCAACCCGTACCTCGCCCGCTTCGAAGACGCTGTCAACCTCGCTGCGCTGAACATTCTCGACGACCAACGCGCAGCTGATGTCGTCTCCGTGACACAGACCCAGCCGGTCGATCGACCCAAGAAACCATACAGCATCGTCAAGAGCGGCAATGTGGGCTACACGGCCATTGTGCTCCTGGCACGGAACCCAGACCAGATCAAGGATGTACAGGAGGCAGAGATTGGGTTTGGAGCCGCCGACATGGGAAATAAGGGCGCCGTGGGGTTGAGGATGCTATTCGAGGCGGACAATGGGCAGGAGACTCAAGTCACGTTTGTGGCGACGCACCTGGCGGCCATGGAGTGGAATCTCGCGCGTCGCAACGCCAACTGGGCCTCCATCGTCCGGGGCCTCACGTTTGGCAACCCGGAAGACGTCGTCGCCAAGGCGCGCAGGCCGTCGTCGTCGTCGGCCGAGGACAATGGCGAGACGAGGAGCCTCCTGCACGACGAGAACCACCACGCGCGGCTGCAGAAGGAACTGCACGCGATATCCATCTTCAGGCCGTCCTCCCACCTCTTTGTCGCGGGCGACTTGAACTACCGCATCTCGACGACATCACCCCCCGTAGGCGCGTCATTCCCCAGCCTGGATCCGGACTCGGAGCATCATTATATGCACTTTTGGCATCTGGATCAACTCACCCGGGAAAAGGCCGCGGGGCGGACCTTGCATGGGCTGAGTGAGGTCAAGGTCACTTTTCCCCCGACATACAAGTACGTGGTGAAGGCCAAGGGCAAGGATGACGAGGCGCCCAACTGGAGCTTCGCGCCGCACCGGTACCCCAGTTGGACGGATCGGGTGCTCTACCTGGATACACCGTCGTCCGCGGACCACAAGGTTGATGTGAAAGGATACGACGCCCTGCCCGTGATCGCCTCGAGCGACCATCGGGCAGTCTACCTCCGAGCGTCCGTGCCGCTGTTGAGCCCTGGGGATATGGAGGGTAGCCTCTCCGCGGAGAGCGATGATCCGAGGGTTAAGTTGCCGCTGGAGATCGACCCTGAAGCGTGGGAGAGAAGGGCTGCGGCGAGGAGGAAGGAAGTCATGGTCGGATGGGGCATGATGATTGGGACGACATGGGAAGGGGTTCTGGCTCTGGGCACCTTGCTGGCGGTGGGTGTTGGGTGGTATTGGTATACAACGAGCAACGCGAGGCCTTGAGGGCATTTGCACATGAGCGTTATCCTGTTTTGCCTCGCGAGCGTTCTGGATGAGGGTAGAAGAAATGTAATACAGGCGGATCATACATAGAGCTGAAGATTCTGAGTAGAATCGCTGGATTATGATACCGTGTCAGCGTGTATTTATGCTTTACGGTGATGTGCTACAACTGAGTGTTGGCCTACTGCGGCTTATGCCCATGATACGCAGTATACCATAGAAGCCCAGCTTATTGGGAAAAAAGCGCAACGCTTGAGGCGAGTCCCTCCAGGGGCGCCATGCTAGATATACAAAAAAAAAGGAACACCCCTCGGTCCGCTTGTCGCCATCTTTGATGGTTCACGCTCGTCGTTCCCGTCAGAAATCCTTGAAATAGTCGTCGTATTTTTGCGCCATTTCTGCCGTGTACTCTGCCCGCTTGCCATCGTCTTCGGCGTAGTTGTCGAAGCATTGCGCATCCCCTGGATACCGCACAGGAGGCACAATCGGACCCTTGGTTCGTCGATTGTAAACGTCTTCCCAGTTCACACTCCTGAAGAATGGATGGTCCTTTACGCGTTGAGCACCGCCGCTAATGTTGCCCAACCGCCTTGAACGGTCGACGGTGCAGAACGATCGGATGATGTCTTGGGCCTCATCGGATATGCGGGGCTCCACGGGGAACAAGATTGGTTTCTCCACGATCCTGCCCATGTCAGCACGAGGACTGTCCCGGACGGCATCTTCAAACTTACTGCTTGTAAATCTCCATGGGGTTCTGGTGCCAGAAAGGCGGGTAGCCCGTTAGAAACTCGTAGAGCAGAATGCCCAACGCCCACCAATCCACGGCGGCAGTATGACCCTTGTTCTGGATGACTTCGGGCGCAAGATACTCTGGTGTTCCACAGAGTGTGTACGTCTCGACTGGTTTGTCCGCAGAGTTGCCCAGTCGTTTCGCGAATCCGAAATCCACCAGTTTGATGTGGCCCTCTGCATCAAGCAGGAGGTTCTCGGGCTTTAGGTCGCGATAAGCCACGCCGCCCTGCGCTTCGTGAAGATACTCGAGTACCAGCACGATCTCAGCAGCATAGAATCGAGAGGTTGGTTCGTCAAAGCGACGAAGCTTGCGTAGATAGCTGAACAACTCTCCGCCCGGAACATAGTCGAGGAGCATGTAGAGCGAGTCCTGGTCAGAAAAAGAGGCACTCAGCCTTGTGATGAAAGGATGTCCTGCCACTTCAGCAAGAATGGCTCGCTCATGCCGGACATGATCAATTTGCTTGAGCTTGATAATCTCAGTTTTCCGCAGGATCTTGAGTGCATAATGCTCGCTATCGCTGTCCTTGTCTGTCGATGACGACGTAGCGCGGCGGACAAGACAGACGCGGGCGAATGTGCCTAGGCATGTGTAAGGGACAATGTCGTTAACAAGGTCTCGTTCATCCAATATTTACCTGTTCCCAAAGTCCGAACAAGCTCGAAATCATCTGGCTTGAACTTCTGTGTCGCCGGGAGAGGCTTGGGCTCAGTGTCTCTGCTGGGCGCGGGGCCATCTTCGTGGACAAGGCCGGTGGCTGCCGCGACCTGTGCTGCCTTGTTGGCGATCCCTGAAGGCATGGAAGGGAACTGAGAGCTGGCGACTTGAGCTGCCATGCTGGCGGTAGGGCGCAAGCTGGCGGAACGATACAGAGTCTGAAATGGAGTAGATCAACGGGTCATTTGAGGAGGGGTGATGATGCCCTTGGCAGCGGAAGTCGTGATGGGCGGGTTCTTCATGTAAACCTCCAAAAGGAATAGGTTCGAGTGGTTCCCATTTCCGTCGCCGCAGGCGCTAATTGATCTTCAAGTACCTCAAAAGGGGAGAGGCTGAGGTGGGAAAATATGCATGTTTGCTCTGGGTGATGGATGGGTCGAAGTTGGATCTGGGTTGCGTCGGTTCGAGATCTCGGTCTAGCCAGTTGAACATTGTCACTCCTTCCTCTTGGGTTGCTCTCGCTCCAGTCCATGTCCTTGGCTGCGGCGTCTAGAACCGCTGCCATGGTGGCATCAGATAGACTGCGCCCATGTACTCGCCTGCTGAGTACAGGTTTGGAGGTACATTGCGCAGGCTCACGAGTGGCTTTACCCGCCGTTGAGGGGCGGGATCCATGGTCCCAGTGGCAGTGGTGGTGGTGGTGGGGCCTACAGGACCAAGAATGACGCAACGTGGGCGTCCGCGACATCTGGACTGTTTAGAGCGTGAAGGTTAGGCCCCGTTAAGACGCCCCTACCCAGAGAAACCCCCCTGAATACAGTCCGTAGCGGGGCTTACAGGGCTCACTTGCGGCCTGTTGGAGGGCTCTTTGCTCCCTAATCATGGCCGCTTAGATCCACGCTAACTTACCTTACGGCTGGGAGTACAGATGAGGGGACTGCCAGACTGGATCGTGAGACTGGAGGCGGGCACGGATTCAGGTTGGTGGCTCACATTCGTGCAGGGATAGGATGCACCACAACCTTATTCTTGCTCTTGGGGTCACGTCGCAGTGGTGCGGCTCTGGTTTGCGAGTGGTTGGTCCCGTCCGCCTGTGCCCTCATCATGGCCTCATACTCTGATGCTCAAGATGCACGTGTAATCACACCACCATCTCGCGGAAACAAAGTATGTACTCTTGGTGGCTACAGGAACACATGTGCACCGCCGCTGTCGGCATCTTGCGCCCCATGGGAAGCCATAATAATAAACCAAGCGGCGCGATTGAGACCCATAGCACGAGCGCAAGTCGGATCCTGAAACGCTGCATGTTCTTGCTCGAGTGACATATATAGACATGATACAGGAGGGACTTGTAATAAGCAGACTCTTCGAGGACATTCAACCGCGCAGCGGTTGGAAAACCAAAGCTCAGCTGACGTGCAGCCTCGTACCTCAGAAACCAGCCTCGTGGGTTAGACTAGACGGGGATGGTTCACATCTTCAAGCAAGTGACACTACCTTACCTTTGGCATACTTCTTGTGGCAATCGCTGTTAACCTTCAACCCACACATGAGCTGGTCCGTACTGGCTCTACAGATACGCAAGTCAATAATGTCCCAACAACTCACTCACCCAACTGCGTGGGCAAAAGCCGGAAATGACCTGTTATCCGATTGCTGCGTAAAGGACAGGAGGCAAATGGTCGAGAATGGTATCCTTGCTCACACAGGGGGCAGGAATGCTGGTACGGTAGCACACATCTCTTGGATATGACATGTTAACATGAGTGCTGCAAAAATACGCTTAGCGATGTTAGTGCGCCGCAGCACCTGAGCTCCAAAGCTCCTGTGGCTCCACTCAGCTGGCGACTGACGGACGGACGATGGCACCGTGACCATCCAAACGCAAACAGCGCTTCAATCCAACCGCGAGCCATCCCTTGGTCAAGACCTTTGTCGACAAGGACGACCACGCTCTTTGCCACTTATCGACCGCCTCGTCTCACCTCAACTAATCAGGTGGTCTTCAGTCCGTGCACAGTCGACTTCTCAGTTCCCGAACCCGTCGTCCACTTCCAGCTGCTCCGGCGTCGTCATGCGCTGATGACCGATGTGGAATCATGTTTTCCAACTTCACGAACATTGTTCAGAAAGCCCAGCAATTCATTGACCCTACACAAGGCCTCAATCTCTCCAACTCGGACCGCAACCCATCGAAAGCGTCACTCTTCCAGAACCAATTCCGCATCCCCTCCACGCAGAACCCCCTCCACGAGATCAACGCCGAGCTTACGATCCCACCTTCGAACCAGACATCCGGCGACAAAGACCACGACAGAGGATGGCACTATGCGGGCAAGCTCCACTTGTCAGAGGGCTACATGTGCTTCTCGACCACGCCCTCGAGCTTCGCCCAATCTGCTAGCGTCTCAACCTCTTCAGCCTTCACCGGGCAAACGCACGGGGGCGGCCCTAGCGGGAATGGCTTCACTTGGCCGCTCTGCGCCATCCGGAGGGTAGAGAGACTGAATAGCCAGAATTTCCAGGTATGTCAGATGTGGCTACTGGTGGTGCATCGATGCTAACTATCAAGTTTGCTCTGGCGTTCACAACGTGGAATGGCTTACTATACGAAGACACCAAAGACACCAAGGCGAAGCAAGACGGTCGAGAGCAGCGCATCATCATTCACCTTGCAGGCACCCGGCAGTCATGCGAGCGATTCTGCGACGGATTGAAGAAGGGTTTGAGAGCTGGGGTGGGCAGCGTCGGCAAACTACGAAAAGTCGTTGCCGAGGACTACTCCGAGTACCTGCTCCGGACTGAAGACAGGAAGGGAATAAGCCCGCCGGACGCTGGCCTCGGTATGATCTTTCGATATCCTGGGGACCCGAAGAAGCTTCGCGACCGCGCAAAGATGCGTCTGTGGGCCGAATATCTGCGCGACAACGGGCGCAATGTGACACTCATTCGACAGCCTACATTCCACAAGTTGATTCGTGTAGGACTCCCCAACCGCCTTCGAGGTGAGATATGGGAGCTCACGTCAGGATCGATCTTCCTGAGATTGGAGAACCCCACCCAGTACGAGGAGACACTGGCGAAATTCGAGGGGCAGGATTCACTCGCTATTGACGAGATTGAGAAGGACCTGAACCGCAGCTTACCGGAGTACCCGGGCTTCCAAAGCGAAGAAGGCATCAATCGGCTGAGACGTGTCTTGGTTGCGTACAGCTGGACCAATACTGACGTGGGATACTGTCAGGCGATGAACATCGTCGTGGCGGCACTTCTCATCTACATGTCAGAGGCGCAGGCCTTCTTCCTGCTGTCCGCTCTGTGCGATCGGCTCGTACCCGGATACTACTCGACTACCATGTACGGCACCCTCCTCGATCAAAAGGTTTTTGAGGGTTTGGTGGAGAAGACAATGCCGATCCTCTGGGATCACCTTGTCAAGAGCGATGTGCAGCTGTCGGTGGTGTCCTTGCCCTGGTTCCTGTCGCTGTACATCAACTCCATGCCTCTGGTTTTCGCCTTCCGGGTCCTGGACGTGTTCTTTGTGGAAGGTCCCAAGGTTTTGTTCCAAGTCGGACTGGCTATCTTGAGGATCAACGGCGAGGAACTGTTAGACGCAACCGATGATGGCACGTTCATCTCCGTCCTCAAGTCATACTTCTCGCGGCTGGAGGAATCTGCGCACCCCAAGTCCGAGAACCCCAAGCTGCGCGCCGTAACGCGTTTCCAGGAGCTCATGGTCGTTGCCTTCAAGGAGTTTGCGGGCATCACTCACAATAGCATCACGGAGCTGCGCCTTAAGCACAAGGACGCCGTTCTCAATAACATTGAGAACTTTGCCAAAAGGACAGCCATTCGCAACCTTGGGCCTGACAGCAAATTGTTGAGCACTGAAGAGCTTGGCGCACTGTACGACAGGTTCTACAACATTTTGTATGAACGCCAGCAGAGAGACATGATGCTTCAGCAGGACAAGATCAGAAAGGCGAAGCAAAGCCGAGCGCGAGCCTCCGAGATATTCTCTGGTGGTCAAGACGAGGTGGAAAAGGGACGAGTCGGCCTTGGGCCTAGCACCAGCCACATGGACTACGACGCTTTCCGCGAGTTCTTGGCATCCACGTCCAAGTGGGCCATTTCAGATTCGCCAGGGTCCTCGAGACGCGATACCATGTCAGAATCCGACAGGCCCACCAGATACCAGAGTGCACGCAGGCCGACCGAGTCCATCTCGCCTTGGGGCTCGGGCCCAGAGCCAGCTGAGCACGAGTTCTTGCAGAGACTTTTCAAGAAGTGGGACGTGGACGGCAACGGCCAGCTGACGCTGCAGAATGTCGTCACTGGGCTGGCGAGGATCAAGGGGAGACGCGACATCATGGGTACCATCACCTACTTCTTCGAGCTGTACGATGATGACAATGACGGCAAGGTTGACCGTGAGGGCATATTGCGCCTCTCGGAGGCCCTGCTCTTCTTGTCACGTCGGGGTCTTGAGGGTAGCCTCAGTCCCAGTGCCTCAACCCTGGCCTTGAATGGCGACGCTGGTGTTGTTCGCGAGTCTCAAGGCAGCCTGCCCCCCGGAGCATCGGCTAACGAACGGTTCCTGGGCAGTGTCAGCGCTTTCATCCGCCGCTGCTTCGAGTACGCCGACCCTGACCATCCCAACAACCAGGCCAGCGAGAAATTCCAGACCGAAAATGACGCCGAGGACAACAGCAACGCCTTTGCCATTGGCGATGATGAGGATGAGGATGAGGAGGACGGTGGTGAAGAAGACTTGCTGGGCTTCGGATCTCCGTCGGGATCCCCGTCCAAGGCCCAAAAGCCACCCACATTGGCAACGGAAGATACTCAGGACTCGCAGCGGAGTGTTTCGAAAGCAAAGTCTGAGGCTGCCAATGCAGCACTTGACCCTGCTCACCCTCTACACATGACGCTTCCCACCTTCAGAATGGTCGTCCTTGCCGATGAGCTCCTGGAGCAGTTTTTTGAGTCGTCGTTCCCCACATCCTTCCATATCGTTGATGGCGTGCCGAGCACAGCGTCGCCCTCAGCAGGGGGGCTGACCACGTTCTCTAGTCTCGGTTTCGGCAGCCGTCCGCCGGTGCCCATTTCACCCGCCGCTGGAGGCGCCGGTCGTGGACTGCGTGGTGTCATGGACGGTATCATCACAGACGGTATGCGTGTGGCAACAGAGGTGCGCAGACGCATGGACGAGGCCCAGAAGGAGCTGGAGAAGAATGCCCTCCCGGGACAGAAGCCTGACGAGGACGAGGAGGATGACGAAGATATCGGCATTGCCGTTGGGGTGCGACGAGGTCCCGGGGGCGCCAGCGGTGATTCGGACAGCCGTTCTGTGAAGAGCTCCGACCTCGATCTCCTGAGCGGAGCCGACGCAGAGGCCGGCGCGGTGAAGGAGCAGGAAGCGAATTTGGCGGATAAGGATCCGCATGGAGGGAAGCCTCTCCCGCACCGGCCCGCCACGACTAATGAGCCTGGTGTCGTTGAGTTTGAGGGATGATTGCTATCGCACAGCGTGTCTTCAGGCAGCGACAAGATGAAGTCTAGAACTTTTTCTCTTTTCCAAAGGGCGATTTGGAATTTTACGGGCGTTTGGGCAAGGAGGTGGTGCAGTTTAATACCACATACTAAGCATTGCAATCAAGTACAAGTATGGTCAGAACGTATTCGCCTCAAATTGCTTGCCTTGCGCTGGCGCCACCACGACGTGTATGAACATCAGAAGACTATATTGCTACCATGCCAGGTCAATGAACAACAGAGTACCCTTGAAGCAATTTACGGGGTCTTTACTCCGTACTTTCATCGCGGACTGATAAAGTTCACGGGGTAGTCAAATCTTTGTATATACCCCTTTTCAACGCGTTCAAGTGAGGCACAAAGACAAGCAGCTGCTCCACGCACGATAAGCTTAGGGATGATTGCTTCGCTGCTTCATTGCATCAAACAACAAATTTAACAGAGTCGAGAGAGACCTGTGTGCGCGTCTGAATAGGGTAGGCCAAAGCAGCGACATCCTGCTACCATGCGCGACGTCATTTTAGAGTATCCATCACCATGACATCAATCAGGAACAGGGACTCCTTTTCTAGCAAGACGCTCACCTTCAGACTTGAGGTACGGCGCTTCTCTAGCAACCGACACAATGGTACTGGCACGCGTCACCCGGGTGCCTTTGATGAGGCTGGGTGTTTCCCGATCACGCCTCCTCAGTACGGTAGCATCAGCACCTCAGCAGACTGAAACTCATCAACGCACTTCTCCGAAGATGGAATCCCACAGCCCGGAAAGACCCCAAAAAGAAGGAGAAGCAGACAAGAAGAAGACAGTCGCGCAGCAAGATGAAGACCTACGCGCCAGGCTCGAGGCATCCTCTGGAGACGGCGGTTCTGCTGGAGTTGAATATGAAAATGGGGTGGCGCAGGGGTTGAAGAGCCAAGTGAAGAACAATATGTTCCGGTTGATTTGACCCGTGACAGTACGGGCATCGAAAAGTCATGATACACCGCCAGGATTTACTCAGCAAGTCCAGATCGATCGCGGCCAAAGATTGGCGACACGATAGATGGTCTTGAAAAAGCAAGCAGCCCGGGGCAACGAAGATCGAAGATATATCGCAGTGTACAATTCCTCTATACTAGCCATTGTGGCCTCTACACAGCTTTCTCAACCTTTCAAACGTCTTGTATATCTCCGGCCTATATCTCTTGCCCTCCTTACGCGCATCACTCAATCACTCACGGGTTCTTGGGCTGCTCACCACGTCGAACTCGTGCAGTTCATAACTGACACTGGACTCTTCACCCCGCTCTGAAACTTGGACCGTCACCTCCTCCGTCTTCACAATCTTGCCGCCGAATCTGCTCTCCAATATGCTTGTGTCGCTGGAAGCGTCGGGCAAGACGGTCTCAGTTGCCGTTCTCTTGTCATGCGCCGCAAAAGTGACGGCATGGGTGTTGTGTTTGCGTGCCGTTCGCGCCTTGCGATGGTCTGTGCCAGAGCCAGAACGGAAGTAGCCCCCAGATTGGCCGCCTCGACCGGTGCTGAGGCCCTTGACCAACAATGTTCGGAGTACGGGGACACAAGCGGCGATGATTGTTGCAGAGATCTCTGTCGACGCCCAGATGATGAGCTCACCACCCTCCACTGTTCGAATGTGTGAGTGGTTTCCGGTGCTCGTGGTCTTATGTCTCTTCACCTACAAGTAAAGTCGCTGCTGGCCAGAATCTTCTGCTTGTTGCATTTGATAAACGCAGTAATGGCAGCGCTGCAAGAAGTCGTGTCAGGTGTTTGCCTCTTGCCGTCAGAAGGTCCGTTCTGGAAGACTTACATGACCCCCAAACTCATGGCGATCGCGATTCCAATCTTCTCCCTTCGCTTAATTTGCAAATCTTTCAAAATGATCCATGGAATTGTCGCTAATACAAGGTCCATGATCCCGGAGTACGCTGTACCCGTGTATGTCAGTACATGTACCCCCCAACAATGTGTCTGATCGACTCACCAGAGCTCGTCATGGACATGGCTAAGTTCGCCTGGCGACCCCAACACCGACCGTCTGTCCAGGGATTCCACACCTTCTCGAGCGGGCTGCACTGAACGAATTGGATGACCAAAGCTGCCACTTGTAGCACGTTCATTGGCACAGCGATGAACCACAGTGCTTTCTTGAGCTTTGGTCCCGAGATCTTGCCCACCGTGAGCACAAACGAGGTCTTGCTGAGCGCCGGGGCGATCAGGACCATTGTACCGACGACCATGCCGCCCAGCCCAACCTGATAGGAGTTGGCGGGATCAATGTTGATGCCCGGTCGTCCAAAGCCATGAGCGATGTTCACGGAGAGCTGGATCGCAGCTACGAGGAAGAAGACCTATGCCACAATTCCACGTTAGCTGACGTCACGAGAGGAAGAGAATAGCACGAATGCTCACTTACCCAGGAGGCGATGAGGACATGGTCGTCCCACCACAGGCCGTGATGACTGCGTAACTTGCAGTACACTCAAAGACCGAGGAAGGCAGTGGCCACTGCAAAGACGGACCACACAGCCGCGCTTACTGTAGGTCCATTGTCCGGCAGTGATGGATCATAGGACCAGACTGCATCTTCAGTCGTCATCATGAGCTTGCAGACCAGGGGGCGGCGATGACATGGACACTCAGAAAATCAAGATTGGGTCGGAGGCCCACGGGGCTCTTTTGAAGATTCATCACATGGCTCGGATTGTATGTGTGGGATGTTTACGGGAAGTTGAGAACAGTCAACTTCATGCACGTTGTGCAGTTGGTCGGTGGTACACAGAACCCTGAGACGCGAAACCCTTGACATTACTGTATTGGGCGTCGTCGGCCGTCGGCCGTGTCAGCCATGCTGGCTTGGGGCTCGATCGAGGCCTTTCAAGTATGGTCTTGCGGTGTGATCTCGGGCTAAATGATCCGAATGGTTCATTGAGGACGCCAAGAACAACCGAGCTGATCAGTGCCAGCATCGGGAAACACCTGCCCATCCTAGCGAGAGGCCTCTGAGGCGCCCTCCAGTCGCTTAGACAGCTTTCCCCAGAAGCGTGTGGATTCTGCGGCTTCTGGAAACATGGCATAATACTGTTGATATCGAAGCAGCGGTTCGACTCATGAGATCACTTGCATAACGGATGTGATATCTAGGTGCTGCTGTTGCTAACATATTATTACACACACGTGGGCATGATAACCCCCCTCATCTTGTTCATCGCCCAGGAGGAAGATGCTTATCGGCATGGATTTGAAAAGGCTGTTGGTTTGCAAACATGAACCCAGTATCTTGGCATCACCGGGGATCTACTGCGGAGGTGGGGGGAGACGCAGACATGCCGCATAAGGCCGTGGTACTACGTACAGCGAATCGGAGCATCCACACGGGTGCTCGAGGTTGTCAAGAACATGGGGGGTCCCCATGTTGAGCAGACTGAGGTGGTAGAATTGCTCCATCTTCGACTGGATTTCCCTCTTACTGCACAGGAACGTAATGCAGGTCCAGGATACCCGCAGCTCGCTTATGTTCCTAAAAGCCCCTTTTCGCTTGCAGAAGCATGATATATCCCACGAGTCAGAACCGTGGTCCTCCAACCTCGTTCCCTGCCTAATGTCGATGAGGATTCGGAGTCGCGGACTTACATGGGACGTTATATTGACACTCTCCACTGACCCAACACCGCCTTGACGTCTGGAGCATTACAAACCTTCTTCTTCGACTGAGCCTCTCTGTGGTTGGCACCATCAGACATCATGTTGACGTTCCTGTTCCCGCTCGCTGCGTTGGCGGGTGCCGTCACAGCCAAGTCCTCGTCGACGGCTGAGAACGTTTCTGCATGTGTAGGTTACATTTCCTCAGGTGTGATGAGCAACATACTAACAAGATATAGTGTAGCAAGCTTAGCGAGACCTACCCGGACCAACTCGTCTACGCTGGCGAGGAAAGGTTCAAAGACTGGAACGACCGCTGGGCTGCTTCGGCCGAGCTCCCTGCGTCCTGCATCTTCCGCCCCCTTACCGCGGATGACGTCTCCTTGGCGATCAAGATCATAGCCAAGGGCGCCGGTCAGGGATGCCATGACTTTTGTCCATTCTCCATCAAGTGTGGTGGCCACACGCCTTGGCCTGGTGCAAACAACGTGGACAGCGGTGTTGCCATTGACCTGGGCTACATGAACCAGACCGTCGTTGCGGACGATAAGACCTCAGTCACCATCGGTGGCGGCACTCGATGGCACGACGCCTACGAAAGTACGGATGGTGACGGTATTGCGTTTCTTGGTGGCCGGTGCCCAAGCACGGGCGTTGGTGGTAAGTCCGCATGTCATGTCCATGGTCGGAAGCCAGCACTTGGCTTCTGGCAAAGCTACATTAACCTTTACTGACTTGTTTCTCTTGCTGGCCTGTAGGCTTGACCACTGGTGGTGGTTACTCGTACGTACTCACCCCTCGAAGATCAATACTTGCGCTGGTGAACAAAGGCTTACACAACCCAGCTGGTTTTCGGGGGAACATGGCTTTGTCTCTGACACTGTCATCAACTTTGAGGTCGTCCTGGGGTCGGGCAAGGTTGTCAATGCCAACAAGGACACCAACGCGGACCTCTTCAAAGCTCTCAAGGGCGGCAGCAACAACTTTGGCGTCGTCACCCATATAGAGATCGCTGCGTTTCCGCACAGCCAGCAAGTATACGGCGGACTCGTCATTGTCCCCGAGAGCAGCAGTGACAATGTTCTGGCCGAGTTCCAGCATTTCACCAACGACTCGACTGGATTCGCTGCCAATGCTGGCCTGACGGTCGAGTACTTCCTCCCGGCCGAGGGAGAAGGCCAGATACTCCTCTGGTTGATCGACACGGATGCCGAGGACGATCACGCTACCCTCCAGACGTTCTTTGACATGGAGCCAAAGATTGTCAATCAGGTGTATCAGACATCGATCGCGGACTATCCGACCTCCATCCCTCCCGTCACCCAGGTTCTGATGGCTGATGTGACCTTTGAGAACGACCTTGATGTCATCAAGGCTGCATTCGACATCACCATGGAAGTCCGCAAGACTTTATCTCACGTTCCGAATCTCGTCTGGGACTTTCAGTTTGAGCCCCTGCCACGCCACTTTCTCAAAGCCAGCCAGGCTGCTGGCGGCAATGTCATGGGCCTCGACGATGTCGACAAGGACCTTCTCAGTGAGTTTGCATGCCTTCCCTCTGGATTCGCTGGTGCTAATTCACAAATCCAGTCCTCTTTTTGATGCCTCTTTGGGAGGATCCCGAGTATGATAGCGACGTTCGGGATGCAGCTGAGCTGTGGTTCCACAAGATCCAGGAGTATACCCAATCTGTGGGAAAGGCACATCCCTTTGAGTTCGCCAACTACGCTGCCTCGTTCCAAGACCCGATGGGTAGCTATGGTGCCGAGAACTTGCAGTTCCTCAAGGACGTCAGCCACAGGTACGACCCTGGGCAGCTCTTCCAGAGGGCTGTCGAGGGCTATAAGCTGTAAAGGTCTTTCTCTGACGAAGCTTTGAGGAGAAAATGCCGCAACAGCATCTCAACATGAGAAAATGCTTGACACCAGGTAGATTATGTCCAGGTTCAATTTGTAATCTCCGTTTCAGCAACGTGGACCAGTTGGCCGTTGACACCTTCCTCACATGGGCTCCTCCGGCCCTACAGAACGGCCTAGTCTTTTGGAAATGTACAGCTCTAACGATTCCACATATTTGCAATCTGAATGTAAACGAAGCTTCTCGGGCAAACGCATGCGCTTCGTGACTGCGATGTCGGAACGCCTTGGACTGGATATTCTGATTTATTGGCATCAAATGTAAACGGGTGATGCGCATGTATGGGTTATTGATGTATGCTAATGCAGTGTCAATCTGAGCCTCACCCACGTAGTGCTCCTGGGAAATCACATGTGGCTGATCAGGATAGTCAGGTACCAAGTTGGCTGACGTCGTCGAACACTTCGAGGTCGAACCCCTCTTTGAGATTACATCAGTATTAACATGATCACGACATTTATCATAAGTGCAAGGTAACTCGAAAATCCAAAATCAAACCTATTCAAGCCCATTCTCTTTCCCTTTGAGCTATACCCCAGATAGATCATCCAGGAGCCAAAATGCCTCGCATACTCGTGGTAGGGGCAACGCGCGGATTGGGCGCAAGCCTGGTGAAGCACTACACCTCGTCGTCCAGCGCAACGGTGTACGCTACGGCAAGATCAAGCTCTCACACTCAGGACTTTCCGGACAATGCCAAATGGCTCACAGGCGTCGACTTGACCAAGCGAGATGTGGGCGACGCCATCGTAAAGCAACTGCCGAATGGTGGCGAGGCACTGGATGTTGCGGTTCGTCAGCGTCCCCTCTAGACACCGTGCCCATGCTAACCGTATCATCTACAAGATCATTTCTGCCGGTCATTTCACGACGGAGGATTTCAAAGATGGGCCTAATTGGGACGAACAGCAGCTCATGTACACCACTTGCGCCATCGCCCCGGTCTTCATCGTCCAGAGACTGGCCAATGCCGGTCTGCTCGCTTCAGGGTCCAAAGTGCTCTTGGTCTCGTCCGAGGCCGGCAGCATCGCTCTACGCCACGAGAGCGAGGGAGGCGGCAACTATGGTCATCACGCTGGCAAGGCGGCGCTGAACATGGCTGGAAAGCTGCTCAGCCTGGATCTGAAAGAACAGGGCATCGTGGTGAGCCTGGTGCATCCGGGGTTCATGAGGACGGACATGACCAGGAATGTGGGGTTCGACAAGTACTGGGATGCTGGAGGCGGTATGTTATTATTGATGAAGCTGCCGTGTCCAAAGGGACGTGTGAGCTGTTGCTAACAAGTCACACCAGCTATCTCACCCGATGAAGCGGCTCAGCGTCTGGGGCAGTGGGTAGAGGAGCTCGACATGTCCAAAACAGGTGAGTTTTGGGCACCCGGTGGTGCTGAGGATATTGGCACCGCTGAAGCGGTTCTGGGCTCTGATCTCCCCAAACCATTGAGGTTGCCGTGGTAGATTTTGTTGACCGAGGCCGTGAGTGATCCTTGCGCGTTGTGGGCGCTTTAATGACGGACGGGGTAGACGGACGGGGTGGATACGTGACCTCATTCAGGGTCCTCGAGAAAAAGGGGTGAAGGAGGGGCCAAGGACCCCATATTATACATGTCCCGCAACCGTCGACTTTGAAATTAATTACCAGGCCTCCATCTGATAATATCGCCCGGACTCTGCTTGGTGATAAAGTTTCCCATCTCCTACGTACCCGGGACTTCTCTCTGCTGAACCGTTGAGCCAAAGACCGCACGCGAGAGGCGGTGAGGCGGGTGTGCAATCTGCTCAAGTAATAAGGCTTTCAGGCTGGTTCTCGTGTGGGGTCGATGGATACCCCTATCATAGCTACGGCACGTAGTCGGAAGCCTTGTTGTTCAACAAGATGAAGGTCCATCAAAAATGAAAGCAGCGCAAGCACACTGCGGTCGGCTAATCGGCTCACGCTCTTGGGTCAAGGACTTGGCTAGGAGGTTTGGAAGCTACGGCAAACCATCAATACATACGTAGCAAGCACTTATTCAATCTGGGGCGATCCGGCAAGATCAGATCTGTATCTGACGCTAAGTCTTAAGGAGCGGCTGCAGGGACGCCGCGCCAAATCGTGGGGAGACTTGTTGTTGGTCCTGGACTCCTCGGGGGAAATGTCGCGCGACACTTTGCCGTTGCTCGTGGTTCAAAGCGATGATGGAAACGGATCCCGATAGGGGACAATGGCAGGTATCTTGCTGGGGAGCAACAACAGAATGCAGGAGCTCATGGTTGACTCGTATTCTGACATTCTTCGCTGCATCCCGGCGCTGGACATTATTAGTTTGGTTCGCTTGGCTTCCTTGGCTGTGGGAAATACGAGTTCCTAATAAATCACTGGTCACCCAATAACCAAACAAAGTACTATCCGTAACACAAGAGGGATTGGAATCATCCACCTGCAATCGAGACGTCTGCATGTGAGCACACCACAATTTTGGTCTCTGTTGGTCTAATTTCTCAGACAGGGCCCTCCAGTGAGTCCAGTCCATGCCAGTGTGCGGCGGGTAGTTGCGCTGCTGACTCGCTGAGAGGGGTTACCACAGTGGGCTGCTTTAATATATGGCCGGTACACCAATGTGCTTCCTTTTTTGACAGCTCACTGATAAGACAAGAAAAGAAAAGGAAGAAAAAGAAATACAGGGTTGATACGTAATACTTAGTTGAAGGGACAATTGCCTGTCTAAAATAGTAATCAAGCAACGTTTTCTCTCCGGCACCGGAATCGCCAGGCAGCCATACCTCACCCAGGCCAGAGAATGAGTTTACCAGCCATACCCAAACATCCTAATCAATCAGACTACTAGTAGTAGTAGTATGGACTTGTAGTCTAGACTACAAGCGCGAGCCAGTGCCAGCCCAATCACCTTGCGCGCGGGAACCAGAGACGGGATGGCCGAAGGGACTGGAGGCACGCTCGTATGAATCTTGAGGAAGGAGGGAAGGAAGGAGGACAGAACAGACTAACTGCGTTGAGCAAGGTCAATTACAGGAGTCAGTTCTTCTTGCCGAGCCAGCTAGCACATGTAATTACCCCAGCTAAGGTAAGGTAAGGCAAGGTACTACTAATTAATTAATCCGAACCCGTCCATCTTTCCTTCCGCTCCCAGTCTGGTTCACCATGAACATACGTCCATCTCCATTCATCGTTTGGTGACCGTCGACTCTGGAACTCCTGGTCGTCTGCTTGTCGCTTCACTGCTGCTGCTGCTACTGCTGCTACTTCTGACTCCTGGGCCGCTCCCATCTCAACCCTCACACTTACCGGCAGCCTCAGTCGCCCAGTCAATCACTTCACTCTTAAAGCATCCGGTTCTGTCACTATCGCATCTCACCGCGTCGCATCACTTTGCACCACACGGCATCCCCGATTGATGCCAAGTCACGGTTGTCGTTGAGCTGCACGCTATCACAACCCTCGCCGGGAACGCCTGCCCGCACCTCTCCTCGCCGGTTTGTCTGTGTTACCTCGTCCTTCTCCCACGACCCTGCTGCCTCCTTCATCGCCCCCTACAAAGACGACAAGGCTGAGAACCAGACAACTGTCCTTGCGAGCCCATTGTCACCGGTCATCAAATCTCAACAAGCTCTCATATCGACAACCGCACCCAGCTGGGCCTATCAAGATCCCTGGTCTCCCTCTCCACAACAACCGACCACGTCTGGTTCAGAAAACAGCAAAACCCAGCAACAAGTCACCTGTGCCCCTCGTCCAGCGCAACCGGAAGTTGGGACTAGCCAGGCTGTCAGAGACTGTCGGCGCCCGAAGCTGGAGTAGAACTACAGCAGCCCACCTCAGATCCTTGTCGGCCACAGCATTCGACCTCTCGTCTCCCTAACAGCAATTACCATCACCGACACATTTGCGAGGTATACTACGTACGCTTGACTACCTGCGCCTTCACATGCCAAGCCCTTCTCAGCAGCTCATCACTTTTAAAATCTTCAATCAGAGCTTCGTCGCGGTTCAGCGCTCTGAGCCGACCGATAATTACCTGATCGCCAGGTCCAGTCATTACTGACTTGTCCCGCCGGCGCGCGACGCTAATTACTGTGGCCTGTTGCCCCTGGCCCGACCCTCATCAGTCCTGAGCCCCCTGTGGATTTTAATTCGGCCGTCCGCCCACCCGCCTGCATCGGCACTTCAACCTCAAGCTGGTCCTCGAACCTTGGACAACCTTCTCAACACGACCGCAATCGCACAACAGTAGCCGCCCGCAACGTGCGCAGCGTCACCAGCCAAGCAAAATGGCCGACTCTGGCTGGTTTCAGCGAGGTATGTGACCACCCCTTTGCGTCTGATCTGCGAACCCATCCACAATTGCGACGACTCTGCGCCAATCTTCCCGACACACGCACGGCCTGTTTGCTCCTGTCTAGCGCTGCTTGCTTCGCAATCCCTTGACCGCCAAGGCGCACGGTGACGACTGGCATGGGGGAAAATGCAGAGCCAAACATGAATCCCTCTGTGTCAAGGAGTGATGGGCGAAACATCCTGCCCTTATCTGTGGTCCACCCTGCTTCCTTGGTCTTGTCATGCTCGTTTCATCGCTACGTACCCAGCCTCTTTGTGTGTCCCTGGCTTCCCCAACATTGACATTGGCCTGCCCGAATCATTCAGCAGCTGGCTAATCAATCCCCTCGCAGACTCGCAGCAGTCCGAAGGACTCAACATCAATCTCGAGCTGTCTTCCAACAATCCCTTTCGCAATCGCACGGCGTCACCGTTCGACGACCCTCCAGCGCGACCCCTCTCGCGCAACCCTTTCCTCGACAACCCTCCGCCACCACTGAAATCGCCCGGCGCCATGTCGAACAACTCGGAAGGAACCAAGTCCCTTTCGGCCGAGGAGATTTTCGTGTGTTTCTACAAAGGCCCCGTGCCCACCCAGCCAGCTGATGCTTTCCCAGAACTCATTGACACTCGAAGACGAGAAGAACCTCAAAGCCCCCATGCGGCCAGCCCCAGCGTTGCCGACGGGCACTGACGGTGCAAACGAAGGGCCGGAGGGCAGCCGCCGTCATCGACCAAACGATTCCCAAGAGGAGGCTGCGAAGGCTCGGAGGGCGCCACCGCCTGGCGTGCGACAAGGACCTTCCGCCTCGCCTCACAAGAGACCACCTCCTCAGCAGCGACGACCACGTCGAAACTCCGAGTCCTCAGTTGCCGACTTTGACACCATGCCCCTCACGGAGGACGAGAAACGCATGATAGCCCGTCGCCGCGAACGCGAACGCCAGAAGCGCGCAGAAGCTGGAGGTCGCCCCCCGCGTGAGGCTCGCGATGCCCCCGAAGGAGGAGAGCGCCGTGAACGTCGCGAACCCCGCGAAACTCGTGAGCCTCGTGAGCCTCGTGAGCAACGCGACCCAAACCAGCGCAGCCGATCCGGACGTCCCAATAGACGCGTGGATATCATTGATCAGCTTGACGCCACCGGCATTTACGGGACAGGACGTGCGTGGACCTTCTCTCGTCAGACCTTTACATGATGTGCTAACTTGACTGCAGTATTTCACCACGACGGGCCTTTCGACGCTCTCAACGCGCACCGTAATCGTAAGGGTCGTCGGGCGCCGATGCAAGCCTTTCCGGAGGGCTCCCTCAACAACTCCCTCGGTGGCTCTGGGCCATTGAACAGACAGCCCGACCACTCGTCCTTCTTGGGCCAACACGGAGAGGAAGCATTCACAGACTACTCGTACAAACCGGCTAAGAGCCGACAAGGGGCAGCGCAACTGTTCGACCCCATAGCGAGGGGCGAGATTGTTCACGGAGACCAGAGCGAAGGACTGGGCACCTCGACGTTCTTGGAGGGCACACCGGCAGCCAGGACAGCCATTACCCGAACACTCGAGGAGCAGGCCCGCGACCAGGCAGAGACCGGGCTGCAGCGCAAGAAGTCGCTCGCCCAGCGCATTCGACACATCAACAAAGGCCCCCGAGAGTACCCATCTGGTCGCGCAACCAACCCCGAAGGCGCCAAGGAGGCCACCAGCGCTGGAGCTGCAGAGGCTAACCCCTTCTTTGCAGAGTATGGCAAAGGCGAGGAGACCTTCACTGTGCGCTCCCGCGAAGGCGCAATGTCGCCGAGCAGCCCGCCCCGGCGGGGGTCTAGTGCTGCTCTGGAACGCAGGGCGACGGCCGACGGCGTTCTTGCCTTGGAGGAGAACAGCAAGCCCAGTGGCTTTCTAGGGAGGATGAAGAGCTTGAAGGGCGGTCGCAGACCACGCAACAGCAACGCGGACAGCGGCCCGGCCAGTCCTCCTGCCAATCCGGGAACTGCCATTTAGTTGAAGAACATGTCCCGGAACGCAATCACACATGGACGGCCGCCATTAGAGGAGATTGGAGATGACGGCATTAAGTTGCCGGAAGGAGAGCTGGGGGGCAAGAAAGGGCACGTGAAGAGCTGCAGCGCCTCTGGGTCTGAAGCGAGGCTGAACCCGGATCTGCCTAGCGACGAGTCGCTTCGCAGCTCAAGTTCGCTCTCCTAGAAGGCCAGCCAGAGCGATGGATGGATCTTGGGAGTGGAGAACCAGCGAGACTATTGTTTGGGCCCTCTTATGGAAGTGGACGAGGACACATCGAGGGCAGCTGAGCTGTCGCGACGATGATTTCTTTTTTGGTAATCCATGGGCTCATGTCGGGGCGTGCGCGTCATGGCCGTGTCGTACAGGGCCAGTTGAACGCACCTATTCTATTATACCTATAGTAAATTGGTATGAGTTATGAAGTCTGTCATCATGAGGCGTTCCAAGCATTCCGGTGCAGTGTAGGGCAGGCTTGCCGTGGATGGTTCTTAGTCATATTCTGCCGAAAAGATCCAAGGACTTCAAAATCACCTTTAAACCATTTATTATTGAGACGAAAAAGGGCGACAGATCAACATCGCCTGTGCCTGGAGAATTCAGCGACTGTGCTACACTCACATTCGCCCAATGTTGCGCCTCTTTTTTCAAGGTCGATAGATGGACGCATCATCGCCCCAAGCAACTAGCAGGACCGCATTCGCCTTGGAACCCATACCGGCCACAATAATCGCATCTAACGAGATCAAACGGCGCGATGTCAATATCGACGCCGGTCGCCTCTACGTTGGATGCTCCGAAATAGACAATCAAGTCCTTCTAGGCGGCTTCGATCGTGGTGCAGTGGTCGGTGTGAGCTCCGAAGTTGAGTCCTTTGCCGGGAAAGTAGGTCCCTCTCGTCTAGCTCAACATCCTGTCACAACACTGACCACGATTCAACACAACAGCTCGCGCTGCAGACTCTCGCCAGAGGTCTGCATGATGGCGCACTCCACAATGCGCTCATCATCACGCCACGACCACGGGCAGAGGTCCTCCTGGCACTACGCGACGCCCTCGCTGCGGCCTTGGGTACGATGACCGATGCCAACGCGAGAAAAGAGGCGATCAGAGGCTACATGGACAAAATTCAGCTAGCTGGTGTGTTTGATATGGACGGGGCCTGGGAGGTCCTCGCGGAGCTGGACAGGCCAACACCACCGCCGGCGGCTCCCACGCCAGAGATAGGCGACAGCCAAGACGACGACAAAGGTGGTGACGAAGGCGCTTCCAGCTCGGACAGGAGCCCGGACATGATCATCATCACGCACACCGGTGTCCTGCTCACCTCTCTCTTCACACATCGCTCCTCCTCGGCCGCCCACTCCACCTGGCAACTCCTCTCGTCCCATCTGCGCTACCTCTCACGCACGCTGCCGTCGTCGCCGCTCATCTTCCTCCTCAATTCGACGTCTTCCCCCGAGGTGGAGCGACGCGCGCACCACGCACAGCCGGCACAGCTCGACCAGACCCTGCGGAGCGTCTTCAACCCGCCCACGATACCGGGGTACAGCACCCTGCTGGCGAGGCGGAACAAGCCGACTTTTGGCCTGGTGTTTGCGCAGATGCTCGATCTACACGTCTTGTGCACAAATGTGCCGCGGACGGCGGCTGACGTGGAGAGGGGACCGAACGGCAGTACCGTGACGATCGTGGAAGTGCTGCTTGACGACATGGGCGTGTGGGAGAAGGGGAGGGATGGTAAAGGTCGGGATCACAGGGAGCAGAGATGGGGCGCTGTCGACCTCAAGGACGGACACCTGGTGAACGCCTTTCCCCAGCGCGAAGAAAAGATATATGGTGATCTCAGGTTAGCTGCGGGCTTTGGAGGTCCACGAGTGTGAAGAGTACCATTCATTGACACCACAGAAGTTTCATCCATCAGATCTCTTCCGTACTCACTATGCATGCCGCAGTATGCCATCAAATTAGAAGTGCCCTTCATACGTCTGTCAACGCTAATCCTCCTAACAAGTACAATGCCCTATTTCCATCGCCTCTACCACACGCACGCTCTCGTGATCATTAAACAGGCGTCTATCTAGCCTTACGGCTCCGTTCTATCGTGAACCAGCGCAAACGGCCCCGGACCCTAAGATTGTTCGAGAGGCCAGGCGATATTGGCTCTCTGTCGCATTGGGCTAAGCATCGCTAAGCGCGGCGGCGGTGTCTCCTCTGCCGCATATAAACGCGGTTCACTCGTGGCCCTGCGGGCAGCCTTGGATGGTCCGCGGTGCGTGATACGTTTCGAACCGAGGTGCCATCGCATGCCGTCCAGGGACGCCGTGAGCTCATGCTTCTTTCTCGACGACAGGCACTCTTCCTACACCGGGCTGGGCTGGTCCTATCGCGCTGACGAACCCGGAATGCCGGCTGACGAGGAGGGCGGGGAGCCATATACGTCTGCACGCGCTTGTGTACTCTTCCAAAAGTCAATGGCTTCAACGACATCCTCTCCACGCTCGTCCTCGTATGCGAAGAGGATCTGAAGACGTTAGCAAGGGAGATTCATACAAGAGATAAAAGGGTGGAAACTCACCTCGTGCGTGCTACTGTGCAGCATACGAATGTTCTTGTGGGGCACAATGTGGATAGCACCGTTTTCAATGTTGCGCAGCTCGATAAAGTTGGGTTCGAAAGCCAGAATCCAAGGATAACTGAGGGCAAAGTTTTGCGGTGTACCCTCCCAGTCGATACGCCACTCGGGTCGCGCGCGCCAGCCGTTGCGGTTGACAAAGAACGAGAACTCGGAGTAGTTGAGCAAGAATTCGCCATTGAGTCGCTCAATGTGGATCGGTCGAACACCTTCTTTGCGGGCGACAAAGTCGAGCGATGTGTCAGCCTGGTCGAGGAGTGACTGCGTCTCAAGCGTCTCGAGCGACACAACCTCAAAGCCTCTGGCGCAGGCCACGCAAAGCTTCGACTTGAGGAAATGCACCGAGGTTGACTCAGTGGGGATGTAAAACTCTTTAAAGGGCCTCAGTTCATCCTGGCCGCTGCTCATGAATTTACCTAGGCCCTTCTGTTTCTTGGCCTTGGTCATGGCGTCATTGGGCTCAAACACCTTGATAGTAGTCGAGAGTGCAGAGGACTTGACGCAGCACACCAGGTGGCGACCAAGGCAGATACCCGTCTTGAAGAAACTGCAATGGTTCTGGATCTTCTTAGGCCTCTTTGACAGAGCAGGTTCATCGGGGTTCAGAGCAGACGTAGAGTAGGACAGCAGTGTCTTGTTGGACAGGACGAGCAACAACTGGTACTCTTCGAGGATGTCGATCTGGGTGACGGAGGTTGTCTCGAGGACGCGTCTTGGTATTTGGTCCTTGTTCTTGCGATCCGCCAGGTAGATGCCATTGTCAGTGCCGAAAAGCAACTTACGACCACCGTCTGCAGTATGTCAGCAATGTCACCGAGTAATCTACGCAACGAAACGTACCATAAGGTGCAACACAGTTGACGTGGTTGGTACCAACAAAGAAGTTGCTCGAAATGACCGTGGTGTTGAAGAAATCAGCGCGTCCGCGCAAGCGCTGTTGCGAGCTGTCAATATGCTCCAACCACTTCTTGCGGGCTTGTTGGTTCGCGGCATATACTGTCAACTCATAGCCGGCTTTGCCCAAATGACGGAAGGTGATGGGCCACCCTGCTTCCCTCTTGTTGTCCGCATTGTTGGTTCGCAATGCAGGCAAAAGGCTTGAAGACGAGCGTTTCATGCCCTGTTGAGGAATCACCTCGTCCATCTCACGAATTGCGAGCAGCTCAAGAGGAATAGGGCGACGATATGCCTTGACTTCCTCGCTCTTACCAGTCTGCTTGGTCCGTACCAGTAGGACAGCGTGATCGAACAGATATGCTGTAATCTCGGCGACATCAGTGGGCGACTTTCTGAAGTTGCTCTTGACAACCAGCTCACGACCCTCTTCGGTGAGTCGGAGGTCGACCCTTTCATTAGGCCGGAAGCGAAGCTGTTCATGAAGCTTGCGCAGATTGTAACGATTCTCGGCCTTTCCAGACTCGGCGTTGACTCTGCTCAAGAGGTCGCGAATGATCGTAAGGACTTTGGGAAGATCCTCCTTGTCAGGATTGCCATCCTCAGTGAACTTCAACACATTCTCCAAGAGTAGCGGATAACGGGCCAAACGCGTGGTTGGCTTGGTCAAGTATCCGTTCAGCTCGAGCTTGCGGGATTCTTTTCTCCTCTCAATTTCGTCGACAAATTTCGAAAAGTACGGGTTGGTCGATTTCTCATTCTCGAATTCAAACTTGGCTTCGAGCTGTTTCGAGCCATACCAAATGAAAGGCTCAAACAGAGGAACGTACTCGAGGAAGATGTCGCCAATGTTATACACCACATGTTCTTTCTGCTGTCTCGAGGTGAGACTGCTGGCAAAGCGGGAACTGACAGTATGAATACTCGGGTGGTCGATGATGTTGCTGAAGATGGACTTGACGACTTTGTCGCGCCGCTGAGCCGGAATGGGAGAGGCCTTGGAACGCAGAGGCAATATCCAAAAATCGCGAAGGTACTCCAGATCTTTCACAAAGTCCCTCTCGGTGTAGCAGATCTCCGAAATGACCTCTTGTCTCTTCTGTTCCTTTTCTGAAGTCTTGTCCTTGATCTCTTGCGGTACCGAGTTCATCCAGAGCTTTTGCTCATCTGTCTGATCGGCTTCATCATCGGCGACATTGGCGGAATCAGGCTTGCGCAGACCAGTCGTGACCTTCAAGTTCAGTCTCGAGACTTGTTCCAGGCGTCGTGGGCAGGCGATGGAATAGCACAGCTGGTCTCGCGTACACGTCGGCGAGTAACACTCAGACAGCAGCACAAATACACCATTGACAGCCGGTTTGTCTTCGGGCAGCTCCTCCATCAGATTTTCCCGGAATTGGTACATCTCGGCCTGCGAGTCGCGCAATCTATGTTCGTATGTAACGTCGTGGAAGAACTTTTGGGCATCCAAGGCTCGACCCAGGAGAAGTGCAAGGTTGCGATCGGTCGTTCGAATTATATAAGACAAGACATCTACGGCCTCGCTTCCGCTGAATGCATTTTTGTACGTGAGTTCGTTCTTGGTTCGGTCGCCAGTGATGATCTTGCGCCGAAAACATTCGCCAACTTTCGAGAGCATGGCAGGGTAGACGAGAGGCGGACGGATCTTGGTTGCTGTCATCGGCCGTTCGCTTTCGATAGACTTGCTTCTAGAGGGCCGTGAGGCAACCATAGAAGTGGCGTCGGACTCGGAAGGAGTAATCATTGGTGCGATTGTCGATGCCATCGACATCGTTCTGGCATGGTCACCGCCCGCTGTCGTAGAAGATGCCATACTTGTTGTTCTCGTCTGTGTTCCTGGTGCTGGAGGGTAGTGGCCGTTGAGGGGCGCATATCCATTGGGTGTAACGCTGGAGGCTTCGCTGGGGGCCCTCCGATTAGGGATGACTCGCCCGCTCATGGTCTGGTGTGCATCGTGGCGATCCTGCGGGTTGTATGAGCCGCCAGTCATGGACATGGACCGATCATCATGGCGCTCGGGAACGACCCTGCCTTGCGCGGTGGTTCTAGAGGGCTGCTGCTGCGAATATTGCGCTTGTCGAAACGCATTCGCTGGAGGTCCCTGATAAGAAGATGGTGGAGGATTGTACATATGCGGACGTGCCGAGTTCACCATTGATTGCGATCTGTATGGGTCATTGTGAGCAGCAGCAGGCTGCTGACCACCTGGATACGGTCGTGGAGGTCCCTGCTGAGGTGCATGTCTTGCGCCAATGGCTCCAGCTGGCGGCCCTCGAGGATCCATGCGCGGGTCCATGCGCGGATCTCCGCGGGTTGGGGCAGGACCTTGACCAGCGGGATATGGACGCTTGGCAGGCTGCTGGTAATGGCCTGGGTATTGTCCTTGAGCAGCGGCTGGGGGCGGATGTCCACCTGACGCTGCCCTTTGGCCTTGCTGATAATAGCCGCCGGGAGCATTGCTCGAGTCCATTGTACGTGTTCGTTGAGAAGGTTGATCATGGTCGCCGTAATAGCCAGGATATGAACGCTGCTGAGGGGGCGGTCGCTGCATGCCCGAACTCATGGACGACATGGTATGCGTGCGGCCTTGGTCCGGCAATGATGCCATGGACGAAGATGTCATTGTCTGCGACCTGCCCGGGGGTGCCGCCCCGAAGATATTGTTGAATGCAGCATCTCGTTGGTGACCTCCCTGGTCTGGGTAGCCCCCCCGAGGCCGTTGGGGAGGTGCTCGAGGATCATAATGGTTGTTGTAGTCGGCCATTGTCGCTGGAGGGAGGGGTTTTCTGTTGCGAAGCCACAGAAGCTAAGGTGTTCGCACCGTCGATATCAAGCGCCCAGGGAGAGCCCCTTGACATTGATCTCGACGCACAGGTCTCCACCGGTCGGGTCTACCTGACTCGATTGTCCCGGTGCGGTCCCTTGAAGATATAAAGGTCGTAGAGGCGTCGCGAGACAGGGGAAAACCCCAGCCCGGGAAGGGGCGGGAGGGCGATTTCGACTGTAGAGGCAGGTCGAGATCTGCGGTTCGACAGGAATGGTGTGCGGACTTCTCGTAGGAGCACGGTTTCGTGGGAGAAGGTCGGGTTGATGAGGAGGTGGCCCAACTGGCCTGCGTAGTAGTAGTTGACGGACCAGTTGTCGTATGGTGCGTCTCGAAACGTACAGGAGATTCGAGGGCGGGTGATGGGGATTGCGAATTATGGCTGTAGCCAACAATGGACCGGAGACAGGAGGAGAATCAAAGGGTGGATTCGAGGTTGAATGGAGGTCCAGCGATGGGCAACGGGCGGATGGGTCTGGTCTGGAGCAGTAGGGCCGCAGCGCAGCCAAGCCAAGCTGTCGGACGCCGGGGGTGACTGGCCGCCTGCGTGCCCAAGGGGAACGCTCAACGCACAGCTTCACAATGTCGGCAATCGGTCGCCTTTGGTAGGAATAGAAGATAAAGATGCAGAGGAAGCGCGAGTCCTTCTGGAGGATGAGGATCTCGTCAAAGAGACGGTGGGTTGTTTGAAAAAACGCTCACATAGGTGTTATCGTACTAATAGGTAGGTAATTACGTGGTCCTCGTGCAGGCCTCCGAGCGAGCGAAGCGCAATGCTTGTGCCTGCCTCATGAATCCGCGGCAGGAAGCACCACATCCGTTGGTGAGGCAAGTTCCCTCAGGCAGGCGACAACGCCTGCACCCTCACCATGCATGCAGAAGACGATGATTTCCTTTCGAAACGCGACAGGGATAACTTGTCTGGGTCTTGTTCACTTTTCAAGATAAGGTATAGACTTTGTTACTACTATTACACTACTACGCAGCTTGCCGCTTTGGGTTTGCCGCTTGTTCTTGCCAAGCGTCTTGCAAGACGACTAGATGTTAATTAGAGCTGGCGCTCTACCTCGCCATCATACCTAGGGGTGCTTATTAGACCCATGAGGCACAGGTTGCAGCATCGTCTGGTCGCGATTATGAAGCAGGAGGCCTGGCAAAGTGCGTACAGTGACAAAGTAAGTACTTATCTGGTGGCCAACGTGGATTCAGCCGGATCTCAATTTCAAGGTCACGTGGGCGGTACAAATGTTGGTGCCAACGTTAGAGTCCACTAATGGCAGCACTGCACTCAAAGTCGACGGGGCGTACGCTGATGCATCATCCCTCCAGCTCCAAGCTGCCCGTGTCCAGTCCCCCAACGTCAGCCAGCTCTCGCAACGTCGACGACGACGAACCCCATCTCCCCACGCACTCCTTACTCGAGCCGACCCCCCAACTATCGATCGAAATGGACGAATCCGAGTTGGCGCCCAAATTCGCGCCCTTCATTGGGATGGTACGTCGGGCGCGCCAAACGCATGCCGTCATGCCGTGGCAAGACCAGAGAGTCAAATCGCATCTTGCTAACCTCGACAGGCCGGAATCGCCTCTGCCATGATCTTCGGATGTTTGTCTCCCGGAGAAAGCATAGTCTCGTCGAAAACACAAACGCTGATGATGGGACAGGTATCGGAGCGGCATACGGCACGGCCAAATCAGGGATTGGAATTGCTGGTGTTGGAACCTTCAGGCCGGACCTGATCATGAAGGTGAGGCGAGCCGCGTAATGATCCGGCCTCCGACGCTGACAACAACAGTGCCTGATCCCCGTCATCATGTCGGGTATCCTCGCTGTCTACTCCCTCGTCATCTCCGTCCTCATCGCCGAGGACCTCCAGCCCCCATCGGCGCAAAGCTACAGCCTCTTCACCGGGTTCATGCACCTGGCGTGTGGTCTCTCTGTTGGTCTGACGGGCCTCGCAGCGGGATACTGCATCGGCATTGTTGGTGATGGTGGTGTGCGCGCGTACATGGAGCAGTCCCGTATCTTTGTCGGCATGGTGCTCATCCTGATTTTCGGCGAAGTCTTGGGTCTTTATGGGTTCGTGCAGCCCTGGCGCCTTGAAGGTCCTTTGCTAATTGAAGACAGTCTCATCGTTGCTCTCATCCTCAACACCAAGAGCAAGGGCTAAATTTCCGATGGCACCTTCACATCGACCAGACATACATACAAAGGCAGAGGAGTCGCACACTGAACTATCAGCAGAAGCAAGCGACATGTGTCAAGACGTGCATGGGCATGGCGTTCGGAAACGTGTATATCTATCCCCAGGCCTGACGGCTAGAGATGTGGGAAAGGCCTTGCGCAGTTAAGCTCAATGCGAGAAGCAGGAGTTTGTATTTCTTTTTCTGGCAAAAGCTTGACGTTTCACCTAGGATACTCGGCTACTTGTATACCAGTCGATTCTTTTGTGTAATTTGCTAGCTATTTCCAACAGCAAAGTCCGAAACGAGGGCAGTAGCGGGCGAATGGAAACAACCGTATCGAACTATGCTTATCTGGCAGGCTACGTATCAACACTTGAATTCCGAAACAAATGCCCTCCAAACTCCAAACTGACGCCTGAGTACCTACTGTGCGTGGTGCGTCCAAATGCGAGACAAAGGGAAGATGATGCCGCCACCCCACTAATCCGGCCAGTTCAAATGCGACCCCCGATGCGATGAAGCAACTTTGGACGGTGGCCATTCTCCATCTCGCGGCGGAACCGAGCCCAGCTCCGCTCACGCTCGTCCCAGGTCTTCATCTGTGCTGGGAAGCTGTTAGTTTATGCGGGGCCAGGTCGTTGTGTGAAGGAAACATACCCAGGAGCCAGTCCCAATGCTGGTCCTCGCGAACGAGGACATCGTCCCCGGCCCTCTCTCGAGCGAGCCTTTCCTGCTTCGCCCTCGAGGCCGCTTCCTCTCCAACCAAGTACGGGTCCTCCAAGGGCCTCGAAACCGGTCCAGGAGACGACGCGCCGTGCGCGGCTAATAGGTTCCTACGATGCGCAGCGGCTGCCGTTGCCGCCGCCGCGCTAGACGCTTCTAGGCTGGCATTCACGCGACGTTCGACGACAGAGTGAAGCTGGCGCGATGATGTAGCGTTGTTGGTCGACCATTTTGGGATGCGAAAGCTGTGGATGCTAGGAAGACCAACTCGAGGGGTGCTGGTGACAGGTGGCAGACCGTATGGCGCGGGCTGGTTCGACGGGGACGACGAGGAAGTCGTGCGGTTGTGGTTGCGGTTGTGGTTGTTGCTGTTGCTGGTGGTAGTGGTCGTCGTCGTGGTGCATGTGCGAGGTTCGCGAGGTGTGTACGCTGGCACAGGCTCGTGTTGGTGGTACGACGTGCTGGAGTGGTATGAGGGTGCCTCGGAGACTGAAGTCAGGTGTCAATACTTCGTGTTGCGCGCGGATGGTATACTAGATATCGGAAGAGGGGTTGAAGCATGCGAGGCTTCCAAGGACGTACCGTAGGAGGGGGCTACAGATCGTATAGAGCCAGTCTCAAAATCATCGGCGCTGTAGCGCGGCGCAATCAACGTAGCAGCAGCCATCTCGGGACTTCGCGATCGTGAACGTCAAGGTAGAGGGGGCCAACCCAGCGTGGGGTAGCATGCGATGGAGACAAGGTACAAGCCGGTGACGACAGGTGAGCAGCTTCACAATGTTCCCGGGCGACACGAAAATGAGTAGTCCCAAGAGGAGAGTGAAAACGGGCGAGGAAGTAGAGGAAATAAGGATACTGTCGCCCAGATGCAGAGAAGATAGAAGTGAAGAGGTGGGAGAGGGAGGAGTGGTGGTGTTGCGCGTTCCTGTACTTGGCGAGCGGAGCCACCTCGGACGACAAGAGACTATGGATCAAGAAACAAGACAAGCAACGATAAAGGCTGGTCTTGGCTGCTTGTTATGGATATTGCTTCTCTGCAGGTGAGACGAGCAAGCTCGGAAAAGCGATGTCAGGGAGGGGTGCGGTTTGTCGGGTCGTCTTGCGGCTAACCTATCGCATTGGATGACCGACTTTCAAGAGGCGCAGGGGAAAGCGGGTAAAGAAGTTGCATGGAAGCAGGACAACAGAAGAGGCCAAGACGAGGTGCATGTATGCATTTCATAGTCCCAAAGTCCCATTACGGGCTCGGCAAGGGTGGATGGACGGAGATGTTGGATGAGGAGAAGAGGGTGGGCAACCATGCCATCACTTGACTGGTGCCCGGGCTAACATTGGGGGGGCACGTGAGGTCACCGATGTGTCTTTGACTTGCTCCAAAGCCCATAATTGCAGCTAGCTTCACGTTTTCCACAGTCTCAACTCGGATCTTCGGGTCTTTTAAGTTGGTAAATATTCCACCCTCTTCCTGGGTTGGGAGAACATTGCCCCGCGCTTAGACAGCCTGTGGACAGGGCTATGATGCAGCTCGGAGACAAAATAAGCAGGACCTTTGTTAGCACTGTGAATATTGGCCGACCACGCGACCAGCCGTAGAGGTTGTCTTGGGAGGCCTCAAAGCTGTAGAGGTCATTGAAATGGTATTGTGACGATCTAGGCGCAATAATAGAGCAAGATGTGTCGTTCTGATGGTTCAAGAAGTAAAGCGAGACATCCTTCATTCATGAGTAGTATATAGACTACAATCTTGCGGAAGTATTCATAGAACAGGTTGCATAGTGTAATGGTTAGCACGTGAGATTCTGATTCTCGAGATGAGGGTTCAATTCCCTCTGCGACCTTCTTTTTGCTCATGCCATGCCATAGCATTCATTACTGTTGTACTTTCTGATACAATTCCACTATTATATGACTTTTTCAAAGTGGTCCAATCAATATTTTGTCCCACAGTTTCTAGGTGATCGGTGCAGCTCGTGAGAGTCGTGATGGACTCCCTTCGACTAGCCGTAGGTTATCTTGGACGATATATGGGCCGAGGTCCCACAACTGACAGCATGGACGGCATAATCAGGTTTGCCGTACGTTAGCGGTCTCGGAAAGTCCACTGATGATGTCGTTGACGAGAGAGAACATTCTCCTATCGCGATGCTTGCGCTCACTAACTAACGTGCTGCCATTGCTAAGGTAGGTGGTCAGTTTTATTTCGGACACTGTATTACACCACCGACAAATTTAGTGTCCAGAGATGGATGCAGTTGCTCGATGGGCACCACTACCCCGGCCCCTCCCTGGCGACAGACCGTGCCTGTGTTCCGACTTCCCGTGTCACCACACTTGTTTGGTGATGAATGAGCATCTAGACCCTGACCCATGCTGCCTTCGATGTGCCTTAGCCGAAGGTTGTGGCGTCGGACGAACAGGCCTTGACACCCTCTCGTGAACCCTGACTCTGCATGTGGGAAGAGCATGGTCCGGTCAAGCCTGGCTGGCTCGATCAAATCAACGGGAAGCACGGCTTGGGGGAAAGTTGGCAGTCAAGATGTTGTGTTATAGTAAAACACGGGCTTACGGAAGCTGATATTCTTGTTTCGAGCGTATATGTATTCTACTTCGGTGTATGTTCGGCAGCAGGCGTGATATTCTTGGCTGGCTTGCGGTGTTGCAATCCCGACATACATATACCCATGGCAAACACGAGTGACCATCCAAGACCAGAAACACTCTAGCTGACTGCCCTAAAAAGTATTGACTGATCACCGCATATAGTGGTATCATTAGTCGATATCTGCAAGTGTATATATGTGTGGGGAAACACATCTTTTGTGCGTTCAGGGTAGGCATGAACCAGAGGGCGCTGACACAACTTGAACGCCGCCCCACCATGGATCCATGAACTCGCAAGTCGCGTTTCCCAATTCAATTTACGCGTCGCTAGCGAGCTCATGGTCTCTCTACTTGATCCCAACGCGTCTAGTCTACTTGCGACCGAGATAAATTGTTCTTGCTTTGATTGAAGCATTTTATGAGGGCGCCCGAATTGCGGCATTTCGTGTGACGGCACGAACACCCGAGTCCTCGAGCACATCATGCCTACTCGCGTCGCACGTTCAACTTCATACGACGGAACTTCTCCGGAGGACTCTGCCCCAGATAGCGCCCAGGCTACGCTGGCCGTCCGTGAAAGACGCAACACACGTGACGCTTCGGTATCGAAACGAAAAAGAGCGGACACAACGACTGGGGGCGGCTCAAACCGGCGTCAGCGAACGACCGAGCCTCGAGTCGAGGATGATGGCGAAGACGATGAAGACGACGAAGACGAGGAGGGGAATGACTCGGACGGCGGAAGTGACATCTACGACCCCGACCAGCCTCTCGAAGAGCGCCGCGAGGTCCAGCGAGGGTTCCGTAACCTGCTCAAAGACATAACCGAGAACTCGGAAGAATACCTCCAGACCAATTCTACTGGCCTCAGAGACACCATTGCTCGTGCGGACGAGTACCTGAAGAAAGTCAGGAGACCCGGCGAAGCAGCAAGTGACTCGCGGTTGCTGGTCAGCACAACCGATCTATCATACCGCAGGACCCTACGATTAGCACAAGGCAGCTCCGCCCAGGGGCTCGACGTGGACGAGTTTGTGTCAAAATGCATCATCTACATGCGGCAAGGCGGAGGCATTATCGATGACGATGCTGCCGAATTGTCTTCTACGCAGAGACATCGCAGACAGTCTCGAGGTCAGCGCGCGACGGGTAGTGAAGAGGACGAGGATGATGACGGCGACATGATGAATTGGCCGCATCTTGGACGTTTCGCTGTACAACCGCACATTCGGAGGCCGGCGTTACCGGGATTTCTCCTTGGGCCTCTGTCTCTGGAGAAGAAAGTTCGCAAGATCACGAAGCGGTCTGCGCCCTTCCGACCCGGCAACCTCGAGGAAACGCGACCCGAAGTACTGAATGTGTCCGATTTCGAAAAGAAGGAGAACGACTTGACAGCTCTCTGTGGCAAGATCCTGCAGCGGCTGCAGACGGTCCAGCAGGAGAAGCAGGAGATCCTCCAAGACCTCATCACCGATGATGTCTCCGAGGACGAAGCAGAGCGGCTCATGCACGAGCAAGGACTCCGAAACACAGGTGGCGTGGACCTCATGAGATTCGTGACAAACCCTCGGTCGTTTGGGCAGACTGTGGAGAACATGTTCTATGTCAGCTTTCTCATCCGCGACGGGAGGATACAGATCGAGTACGACAAGCATGGTATTCCAGCATTGTGTAAGTAGAATCCTCTCTACTTGTATTACTGCGCTTTACTGACGCAACATCAGCGATTGTGTGGAAGGACGAAGAGGCCGAGCCGCGGAGCCGGTCCAACGCGGCTAAACATCAGGCGATTCTGTCCATGGACATGGCTACATGGCAAGAGATCGTGACGACTTTAGAAATTGAAGAGCCCATGATAGAGCACCGGGTAGAGACGCACCAGAGGGGCCCAGGTGCGCGAGGTTGGTACAGCTGAGGGCGGGGCGTCAACCACACAATGACTACCTTGTGGCAATCCATTGTTGTATAAAGCAAGCGAATTCAAACTTGAGCCCTGCGATTGCAGCTGCTGGGTCGGATTCGATCTTCATGTCCCCCCCTCGACACGGGCGATTAACTTTGCCGCGAAAGTTGGTCCGTGCTGAGGCACAAAGAAGACCATAGCCCCCGTGGGAGATGGGCCACGAATAGGTCACCACAAAGAGCGCAATCCGTTCTAAAGAGGTGCACGGACGACGCTCAACTGTAATAGCGTTGCGAACAAAGGAATAATCGAGCACGACCCCAGCAGCCATAGCAGACGCAGGTTCGGGTCGTGGTCGGGTCATAGCTCAATGTCTCTTGGACGGCGCGAAGACGAGATAGAATTGTCCCCTTGTCTTTGCGAAGCTGCGATTGTCTTTTCAACTTGCTCCTGCTTCGTAGATCTCGCGTTCACAACGACGGCGAGTAGGAATGAATCGTCGCTGCAGCATTAACTTCACCTCAACTTGACGATACACGTGAGCAATGCAGACCTCGCTCCCGCGGCGCGTCCGCAAGAAAGACAACTGGTTCTTTCGATCTGAACCAGCAGCACCCGATGGCGTAAAGGAGAAGAAGCTGTCAGACGTTGATCAGCGCCATGCGAATGCCGTCGCCTGGCTGCATACATGGACTCCCAAGCGCTTCCCTACGATCAAGGCCGAATTCGCGTATAACGACGATATACAGGCGCAGCAGAATAAGAGGGTTGACGAGCTCCAAGAGACTATTCTCCGCTTCTGCGATCTCGTCGACGTGGGCCTGATGCGCGAACAAGAACGAGCGGAGCTTCACGACGCAAAAGCAACGATTATGGAACGGGTTTCTGATATTGTCAAGGCTGGGGAGGAACCGTATATTCGACTCCTGTGTGACTATGGCTTCGTTCTAGACGCCGTCGCCATTGCATCGACGAAGATAGAGACCAAGCAGCAGGAAAATGAACAGGCTGAGCCGAGACGAGCGGCGGAGGACGACCGAGCGGCAAACGAAGTAGCTGACGATAGCAAGGTTGAAGAGTACCAGGGCAACAATGAGAACGACCACTCTAGTGAAGACAGCGCACACGACGAGGATGAGGGCGACGAGTCGGACGATGAGCTAGCCAACGTCTACCGGGCTTTACAAGAGACTAGGCCACGTCTTAGAAAGAGGCGGAAGAGCTCGTTTGTCGACACAGACGAAGAAGCCGAGGCCGCAGTCAAGGCGTGGAGACGACGCTCCAGTATAGAGCGCAGTCGTCAAGGTCACAAGCGCCGCTCGACCGGGAACAGCCTAGGCTCGTCTGATAGCTTCTCCAGGGCCACCGGGGCTTTTCGGGTAGAAAATCCTCTGCGAGTAACCAGGACTTCCTCGTCAAGTTTGACGCCAGGGTCGAGACCTGGTTCGGACTATCTCTTTCAACACGTGCAGAGTCGAGAGGCTCGGGAGGACATGTGGGCAGCACTGTTCGGTCCAGGCTCGCCTATGCCCAACCTGTCTCAGCCCAACGAATCTAGCAAGGCTCGTAGAGAAGCGATCGAACAAGCTATAGAAGACGCAAATCGCCGGGCGCAAGAGGAGGCGGAGGCTGAGGCGGAGGAAGAACAGGAAGAAGAGAGGCGGAGATCTGGCTTCCGTGGTGAACTTGGTAGATCAAGATGGGGCAGCGACAGCAGACATTACAGCGGCGGTCATGTCACAAGCCCAACAAAGAAAGACAGACTTGAGCTCTACTTGGCGCCGGCCACGACATTGGATCTTGAAAGCAGCCCTTGCTTTGACAAATTGGGACCACCGCCTGTGAACCCCAGCGCTACGCACGGTGGCCTACCGGAGGAATTGCCGCTGCCTGATGGTAGTGAAGACACGGACAGCACCTCGAGTGACTCTGAAGCGTATAGACTCTCACCGATCCTCGAGCAAGTCGACTCGGAGGCTGAGCTTGCTCCCGCCCAAACCCTCGAGGAGAAGATTCAGGCGTTTCGCAAACTCATGCCGTCGCCGAGCCAGCGACATCTGCACCGCAGCCGCAGCAACTCGCTACCGGCCATCCTCAATGTCGAGCAAGTCAGCACTTCGGTATCAGAAGCTGCGAGCGTCCCACAGGCAGCCGCATCTGTCAATCCTGTCACGGCGGCTCCCTTGCGTTCTCGCCTCCTGGCTTTCATGCAGGAGCAGCAGGCAGCATGGGTTTCTGTACTTTGGTTCCTACTCGCATCCGTGTTTCGAAGTATGGCGCGGCCTTTCTCCGTCGTTCTCGCGTGGGACCTGGATTGGTGTCAGCCACCGCCTCTGGACCTGACAGCCCTTTCGACTGTGCTGACACACATGTCCATCCTCGTGTTTGGGTTTCAGGTACAGATATGGCTCGCTCTGCGTACGGAACGCAAGATCTGGCTGGGGGCGAATCGTGACACGCGGGCGTATCTACTCGACATTATTCGAGAAGATCCGTCTTGGTGGTGGCTCCCAGGCGTGAACCCAAAGCTGATGCTGCGATGGAGTGAGCTGTGGGGGAGCCTGTGGCTCGCCGTTCTCTGCTGCTGGGTTTGGTTGTCCATTCTTCATGCTGGACGTACTCGGATCAAGTGATTACTTGTATATTGCGCCATTGTATTGCTGTGTGATAATAGTCTTCCAATGAATCACGGAACCAAGTGCAGTATGTCTTTAAGATGCCGGCGATGGAACGGTATATATAATACTATAAAAACAAGAATAGCAGTCATTCTGTTAAGTGATTCTTTCATCATCGTGCTATATCCTCGAGTTATTCCAGTGGACAATACAGGATCTCATCCGCTCTCCTATGGTTACGCCTCTAAGGGCCTCGCCTAGGTGCGCGGAAGCGTGTGTAGGAGTGTAGTAGGCAATGGGGGTAGTCTGCGTGCTTGAAAGAGGACTATGAAGTCGGGCGCTCGCGGGTCTATTTACAAGTGACTTGGTCTCGGTGCTCGAGCGACCATCACGAGTGAAGCACGTGGGTTGAACAACGAAACACCAGTGGTAGACTTGATTTTGCTATAGGCTCTCAGAGAGCTTCAACATTGATCGGCATTCTGCGCCACCCAGAGTGGGTGACAGTAGTCATTTCCAAGGCATATCGAACTACAGAGACAAGGGGCTTCTAATGGAGCACTCCTCTCCTTGGGTTTGTCTTCCTCATGTCTTGCTTGCATGTATGGCCGAGGTAATCCACGCCCAACAACTACGTGAGACCATTGCCCAACCTTGACAGCCGATAGACACGCAGAGACACGGGACGCATGTCGTCAAAAAGTGACAGATGCCCCACGTGTGGTTGGTCAGTTTTTCTGTCGTGTATGGGCCATGGATGCCTCATACTATTGTCACCGCCGGACGTGATACAGACTAGAAGCGCGTGTAAGAGCTGGCCCTCGTGGGAGCGGCATACTCGCTACCCAATAAGCTTTCAGGAGTGACACATACTTCACTCCGGTTAGCTGCTCGCCCCGGGGAGGTGGACGGACGAGCTGGCAAACACACAAGGCCATGACCGCCTTTGCCCATTGGCAAGGAGAGGGCGATTCGAGACGATGTGTGTACTACCAAGTTGTATAAATCATCGTAATCTGCTGTATACGGACTGCCAGAGATTCTGGACGCACTCGCGATCAGATTCTCCACCCCGCAGCATATAGTCATGGCGGGAGACACTCGGTCGTGGACGACGTCCTCGTCCCATGGCCCCATCCACTCAAGTCTCACCTTCACCGTAGATAGCGGCACCCTGTACAGCTTCGACACGACGAGTGAATGTCGCTTACGTCCGGGCGACACGCTCCATGGCACTTACCGCATCACGACAGAGCTTGCCATGGGCGGTCGCTGGGTCGAGGTGTCCCTGCAAGGTACGACGAGTGGGCGCTCTCATGCTATTCCGGGTCGGCGACTGACCGGTTTTGCACAAAGGCCACGAGTCCGTCTTGATCCGGCGCGCCATATCATCGCGCGATAGCGTGTATCGCGACGAGTTTGGCGCAGAAAGAGTTGGGTCTCCAATCAGCTCCCACGTCATTCTTGTACACTGACCCTGGCCTCCCTAGTTCCTTCATCTTCGGCATCGCCTGCAGCTTGACGATGACTACGCCCTGGAAGATGGGCGACGAGTCTACACGGCCTCTTTTGTGCTTGTGGTCCCCGCTGGAATCGACCGGACCAACGACCGGGCTCAAGACGAATGTAAGCCGCTGCCGCCATCCTTCCACATCCAGCGCTCGACTTTTCGAACCTGGAGCCCGACCATACCACCCAACGTCTTCATATCGTACTCGTTGCGGGCCTCTGTGGCGCATGCAATGAAGTCTGCCGAGATTGTCTACCCAGTGACCTGTCTCCCGTACATCGAGGCCCAGCCACCTATCGAAACGAACTGTTTCCCGGACGATTACGTCCTCTCTGCTAGCCAGACCGCCTGGAGGTGGCTTCTTGGGCAGACTCTGGGGCGCATCACGTTCGAGGCGCGAGAGCCACCGCCCCTCCTGTACAACTCCTCTGAGCATCTCTCGACGACGCACTTCTCGGTGTGGATCACCTTCAAAGGTCACCCAACCCATCTTCATCGCCTACGCGCAGGATCCATCAAGGTCGACCCAGTGCTTCAGACCAGGACGTATTACAGCGGGACGAAACTGACGGGCAACCCGAGCAGGGCGTTCGTGCAGGAGTCTAGCCGGACCCAGCTCCACATGGATACGATCCAGCTCGACGTGCACAGCTTCTCGTCCCTGCAGTGGAGCCCAAGAGACGTACGCAGAGGGAGCAGCATGGTGGGCGCCGCTGCTGCCACGACCGACAAAGAGGAGAGTCCGCCCTGGTATGCAGCTGTCCATGTTCCAATCAAGCCACCCCTGAAGCTGCTACCGAGCTTCTGCAGCGACTATGTGGCCTCGTCGTACGCCATCATCGCCAAGGTATCCATCAGCGGTGTCCACGCCAAGCCGTCGTATCTCATGTTTCCACTGCAGGTGGCTTACCCGAGCTCCGCGCAGAAGGACTCGGGGCACCAAGCTGCGGACAGTCGGGGACTTGCGCCGCCAGTGTTCTCGTCGTCGCCTGAGGACAACGTGTGCTGCACCGCGGTGGACGCAGACGTACAGTGTGAGAATGTGTGTAGACTCGTTAACATGCCCTCTTTGTCCGTTTCGTTGAAAGTTGAAACGCTGACCCCTACGTGTAGGAACTGCTGCCCCCCCTGTATGCAGCGTGATGAGGCTGGATTGGAAGGGCGCGGTCATTAGGAAGGGCTCCGGGGCTGGTGTCCATCCTGGCCAGTGACATCACACCAGAGTCCGATGCAGGCTCCACTCCGGTCCGGATCCGGCTCCGGCCTCTCCTCCGCGATCCGGAGCGGAGCGGAGCCGTAACCTAGGGCGCAGTGATTTGGTTCGAATGCCACAGCAGGTGTTTGTAAATGTACATGTAATGATCAGAAAAGGAGATGAGATGATTGTGGCCATTGATCATTCCAAAATAGGCCGCCGCTCCCCATGCCGCCATCACACCTGGTGGTCCCATTTGGTCGCATCGTACTCGTGCATGTAGTCGAGATGCTCGCCGCCGGCGGCAACCCACGCTTTGATGCCTCCAGCCAGTATGACACTCTCCATTTCTGCGTCTTGGCGTTCCGTAATGTAGTCAGCGAACCATCCGGCGGCTCGACTGCCACGGCCCTGGGAGGACCCTGAACGAGAGGCAGCGTTAGCAGGCATGTCCCCTGGCGTGAAAAGGTCTGCAAAGACGGCGGACAGGCAACTCACCGCAGTACCAGATGACCGTCCGGATGCCGGCGGCGTGGAACATGCTGTACAGCGTCGGGATAGTAGGGTAGAGGCTCTGGGCTGGGAGGTTGATAGAGCCGCGAATCGTGCCACCCTATGTCGATGTCTCCCTGTCAGCGGCCAGATCTCCGCGCAGAGGACCTTGAAAGGCACGGACGGGGTGGAAGAAGACGTACCTCGTGGTCATTGCGACGCAGGTCGACGAGTACCAGGTCTGGTGCCTGCCCACTGCTGCCAGCGTCCGCGCTCCGCAGCAAGTCCAGCACTTGGGCGGGTGTCAGTTTGGGCAGATCAACCGCCCGAGGCGCTGGATAGGCGGCGTGCCAGGGCTTGGCGGTTGCTTCCATGGCGGGTAGCAGAGGGGGGCGAGTGATCTATCTTAGTCTCTGTTTGGGGTGGTGACTAGCTGCGGGCAGCTGGGACGAAAGTACGTGAACAAGGCTGAGGGTACCAGGAAGTGAATACGGCCGGGACAAGATACGAGGCATGCTGGGAATGGCTGCACTATGTACAAATGCACCAGCAACAGAACTTGGAGCAGAGGAAAAGGGAGGACAAGGGGACATCTGTCACGCCCTCCCTCTGATTGGTCACCTGCGCAGGCAACGTAGAACCGAAACGAGCCGCCCACTCTCTAATTAGAGTTCAGGTTCAGTCCTAGAGACCTAGGCGGATTCTTCTGTGACTAATTACTCAATTATACCTGCTAATTAATGATTATCAATTATAATGGCTCTCGCAGGTTCGACGCAGAGCACGTGGGCGTTGGGCGAACGTGCGAGTCTAAATTTTGAACAAGACGACAGAGTAAATTTGAGTACTTAATACTTATACGCCGGCCAGCTTTCAGAGGTCGGACCCTGAAACTTGTAACACGCTCGATACACTCGTCAACAGCTTACAGTAAAGTCACAGCAATGTCCACAAGCCCCGACAGACCTCATCCTGCCGCCTCGACGAGCAGTACCAACATGCCTGCCCTCGCTTCGACCGACGCATCCGCGCCGCCAGACACGTCCACAGGCATCGTGGCCAACGAGACAGTGCCCCAGGAGGCCGATGCTGAGAAGGGCCTCGCGCCGCTTCAGCCTGGGCCCCATGAGAAGCAGTCTGACCCCGGGCCCGCCACCCAGACCTCTGCTTTCAAGGCGCTGGGCTGGCTCGACCGGCTGCTAGCCCTCTGGATCTTCCTCGCCATGGCCATTGGAATCATACTGGGCAACTTTGTCCCCAAAATTGGCCCGGCCCTCCAGCAGGGCAAGTTTGTCGACGTGTCCATCCCTATTGGTGAGTGCATCTTGGCCCATCTTCCTCTGCCACTCGCCTGACTGACAGTACTAGCCATTGGACTGCTCGTCATGATGTATCCGATCCTGTGCAAGGTCCGCTATGAGGCGCTACCCGAGGTCTTCTCGCACCGCGCTATCTGGAAGCAAATTGCCTTTAGCATCTTCATCAACTGGATCGTGGCCCCCTTTCTCATGGTACGTCGTCCGTCCTCATCCCAGTGACCACTCGAGTAACACGGGTAGCTTGGTCTCGCATGGGCGTTCCTCCCGGACGAAGAGGGCTTGCGCGAGGGTCTCATCCTCGTTGGCCTCGCCAGGTGCATAGCCATGGTCCTCATATGGAACGGACTTGCGGGCGGGGACGCAGAGTACTGCGCCATCCTTGTGGCCGTCAACTCAATTCTGCAGATGGTCCTCTATGCACCAATGGCTATCCTTTTCATAAGCGTCATGGGCGGCGACGCGGCGGCCAATGTCATCTCGTACTCGGTCGTTGCCACGAGTGTCGCCGTCTTCCTCGGCATCCCTCTGGGCGCCGCCGTGATCACCCGCTTCGTCCTACGCAAGCTGGCCGGCGCAGAATGGTATGATAGCGTCTTCCTGCGCTTTCTCTCCCCGTGGGCGCTCATTGGCCTGCTCTATACTGTTCTCGTTCTTTTTGCATCGCAAGGTCGCCAGGTCGTCCAGCAGATTGTGTCTGTCGTTCGCGTGGCCGCACCGCTTATCGTCTACTTTATCGTTGTCTTCTTCGTCACCCTGTGGATAGCACGCCGTGCCGGTTTCAGCTACCCGCTGTCCGCGACGCAGAGCTTCACGGCGGCTAGCAATAACTTTGAGCTGGCCATTGCCGTCGCCGTTGCAGCGTACGGGCCGGACAGCCAGCAAGCACTGGCCGCGACGGTGGGACCCTTGATTGAGGTGCCGGTATTGATCGGGCTGGTGTATCTGGTGCGGATGGTGGCCAGGCGATGGGAGTCTAGCAAGGTATGAGCCGGTGGGCAGAGAGCGGTGCGTTGGATGCAGAGTCCTGTTCATGCTATTCAAGTTATTCATGCCAGGCAGGGGAATAGCCGGCATCACGAGGTGTAGCAGGCAAGTATATCCTTACATATTCTAAAGATAGCCCCAACTAGCAAATACGACCATGCACGGTGGGAAATACGGTATCCCGTCCAGTCCTTCTATTCTGTGCAGTGAGATCGGTTTCCAAGGTCGATTCTTCTAATTTAGAAACCCACAACCTCTAGAAATAGATGTTACTAAGCCACATCACTGGCCACCACAGAAAAACACAAGCGTAGGTTCAGCAGTTCCTGTCAGCGTTGCCAGTGAGTCGAATTTGCTGTGACAGATATTTGGGGCAAGCATGTTCAGTCACGTAAAGAATGACCTGTGTGGTACGTTTCTCCCAAGTTACTCGTGGGATTGCCTCGGTGCGCTGCGATCAAACAAGAGTAGCTCCATAGACTAACAGTATCAGTAGACAGGTTTCAGACAATGCATATCGGGCAAAGTTAATGTATCCATCAGTTGCATTAGAAATTTATGTTACATAACAAGGCAGAAAATCTATCCTTGGAAGAAACGAGTCGTCTGCACAAGACAGGAGTATCTAAGTATTCGATAAGCAAGGCTCTTACACGTAACTATCGAGTGTCGCAGAAAGCAAGAGCCGCGCCTATAGAATCCGACAGCCAATCTAATTTCTAAACTCCGTTGCGAACAGTAGAACATCAAGGAATATTTCAGTCTATGCCTAGCACTGTTTTCCACACTCGTGCACAACAACGCTGGCGAAAATCGACCAGGAACGGACTGTCGCTAGGCGGTCATATCGATCTTTCAACTACCCCAACGAGATTATAATACCCAGATTTGGAAAGATCGCTCATAATGGCATGGTGCTGTTCCAATCAGTCGATATTATTATATTTATTTGCCATCTGGCAGCCCGTTCATCAATCCGATCTGGTCGACCACGACCACGGGTATCATGGAGAAGAAGAAATCCAATACTACTCCTGTGTCACTATCACCCGATGTGAAAACAAAGTACTATTCAAGAAATCACTGTAAGTTTCCGAAGATAACTGGACCTTGTTCGTACGTCTCCTAACATGCACCTAGCCGCAATTCTCAAATGCATGGTGCGATCAGGGGTTACGCAACACGGCACATTTCTGGTCTTGTATGGGGGCACCAGAAGATTGGCCACGGTGAAAAAGCTCATAAGTTTATCATGACGTATCGACTTGCTTACATGTAGGGTGACCGCAAGGATAACGATCAATATTGCTTTCTGGGGCTCCGTCTTACTCATGTATATCAAGATCGAGAAAGCCCAGAGACACTTGGAAGCATCTTGGAATCCCGCTGCAGGGGTGAATAAGGCCATGAGATCATGCTGCATCTACTCACGATTCAACGAACGAGCCTGTCTGACCAGCCCTACGGCACAGCCCAACGTATCCCCGGACAGTGCAAGGATCTGGCAAGAGAGCTCCGGCTGTGGGACATTTTGGCGGCCTCGCTCGCTGTAGTGCTGAGCGTATTGTTGGTATTGCTGCACGAGAACGGGATCAAGTAACGACCGAGCTCGGACGGACAGTCGCGATATGTTGCAAAAGTTGAATCCGACAACGAGTGACTTCATCGCAGGCTGATGGGAAGAGAATCTATCGCAAAACTGTTCATGACTGTGATCGGCAGAATATGAAGGAATTAGGGGCTTCAACCTGCTTCAACATTACCTATTTCACTATAAAGACAACAACCTCCCTCGCATTAGTCCAGAATGTCTTGCACAGAAACACTCATCTGATAATTTAGTATAGTCATTGTTGAACTAGCTTCTAACCTTCATCATTATGAAAATGATAAAGTTCACTACCATCGTGGCGGCCATTGGTCTCTCTATCACCGCGACCTAGGCCGAGCTCACTCGAGCAGGAGGTAATATCACTATAGACCCCGTGACGCTCTCTGAGCTTTCTGCGCGCCATGCCGCTATCGTGGAAGCCTTTAATATCACTAGGGCCAACAGGGCCGCCGGCCTCGAGGGAAGGAATCCCTTGGCGGCGAACCCGATCATGGCCGGCTTCTACCTCTTCACTAGAGTCACGTCTATCCTTTAAAATTTTAAATCGATTGCTAGCTCGCTCTTTACGGGCTAGGAGAACGACCCTATCTAGGACTCCGATGAATACTGCCGGGCTAAGATCGAATCCTAGGGAGGAGGTAATTATAAGGTGGAAGCCTAGGTAAGGGACGATAACGACTTATACGTCGAGTATGAATAGGGGAATGCGTGAGTGCTCTCTTCGCTAGATTCTATAATTGCCTCTATAACCTCCCGTGGGATATTTAGGAGATCGAGACTAATTTATGCGGATAGATACTCCTAGATCGACTATAAGGCTAGAAATAATCCACCAATTGTCTTCTATGAAGATAAGGGCATTGGAAAGTATAGCGTAAGTCATCCTATAATCTTATAAGCAGACCTATCTAGGCAAAGGAGGCAAGATTAATAAGCACGACAGGTCTAATTAACTACTACCGACGAGTATGCCTAGGACGGCATCGAGAACACGAAGAAATGTTCCGCCGCTGGCATCTACCACCCGCAATACATCTTCTACCGCGAGGACTACAAGCTCATCCTCAACTCACAGGGTAAGTGATACTCTCATCCGCTCAATCTGCCCTAGCGTGGGTCGTTAAGTCGCCGACCAGCTCGTCAAGTATATCGTGCAGCTAACGCAAGTATCCTCCCACAGAAACAGAGGGTGAGTTGGCTGATTGCCAGTACCATAGCACCGAAAAATGAGGCGGCCTCTGCTCGTTGAAAAATGACGATCAATTTCAAAAGGGTGGCATGACGCTACGTGGCTCTTGTGCGATTCCCTGTCTTCCTCATGGTTTAACTCTAGCCCCTTTTTATACATATATAGATCCTCTTGGCAAGGTTATGATGCCTTCAGCCTTACCTAAATGGATATGTAAAACCTGACCAGAGTGACTGCGTCAGAATACATGCGCTTGGACCGGCTCGCTACGACCATACCAGCCAGATGAAACCTACAGTTTGAGAGCGAACGCCCCAAGTTGCAGAATAGTCACTTTTCCGGAGGGACCGCCAAGTGCCATGAGTGATCCAGCAACCGCTATTGCTTTGGGTCTATACTCAGAAGGCAGCCAGAGCAGCCTCCGAGTTCCCTTCAGGATCCAAGGTCCATCGCGACTGATTACACAATCATGAGTGTACGGCAGTTTCGGGGGGGCCTCTTCTAGCTTCAAGTTGGCATCGGAAGGCGGAGGATGCAATGCCTGGGCGTTGACAATAGGAAAGAGGTTCGAGTTTTCCTCACGCGTCTGTATACACGTACCCGTGCGTGCGTCCCAGATTTTCACAGCACAGCCTTCGAGCTCTGACGCCAGCTGCGACCCGTTTGCCACGTAGGCCAACTCATAGACCGCTGTATGGCACTCGAGTGTTTGCACACACGTCCCTGTGACCGCGTCCCAGATCTTGATAGTATTATCGTTGGAACCCGATGCAATCCTAGTGTCCGCGCAGGCCACAGCCAAGATGTTGCCGCTGTGGCCCTTGAGTGTGTGGAGGCACGCTCCCGTAGCCATGTCCCAAATCTTGACGACTTTGTCGTCAGACCCTGACACAAGCTGCGTGCCGTCAGCCGTAAAGGCTACGGATCTAACCTCGCCACCATGGCCATCGAGTGTTCGGAGACACTTCCCCAAAGCCGCGTCCCAGATCTTGATGGTGTGATCGCCAGACCCCGATGCGAGTCGTGTACTGTCCGCTGTGAAGGCCAACGACCAAACTGCGCCGCTGTGGTCTTCTTCCAGTGTCCCATGGTCCTCTTCCAGTGTCGGCACGCACGTCTCTCTGGCTATAGCCGCCCTGACGATGTTCCAGACCTTGACAGTCGTGTCGTAGGATCCCGACGCGGCCAATGTAGCGTCCTTGGAGTGGGCCATTGACGAAATCCATTGATGATAGCCTTTGAGCGTCTGGACACACTGGCCTGTCGCCACGTCCCAGATCCTAACACACCTGCCGCCGTGCCCTGAGGCGAGTCGTTTGCTGTCCGCCGCGAAAGCCACAGAGGAAACCCGTTCGTTGTCGTGGCTCTTCAGTGTCTGTACGCACGTTCCGGATGCCAAGTCCCAGATCTTGATAGGCTGGTCACCAGACCCTGACGCGAGCAGCCTGCCGGCCGCCGTGGAGGCCACCGAGCTAACAGCACTACCATGGCCTTCAAGTGTCTGTGCGCATACTCCCGCGACTGTATCCCAAATCTTTATAGTATGGTCGCGAGATGCTGATACAAGTCGCGTATCACCTAGTACGAAGGCCACCAACGGTATGAAGTACCGCGACCAGATTTTGTTGCTATCGTCTTGAATGGTCTGCACACACGTCCCCGTGGTCGTGTTCCAGATCTTGATCGTATTATCGTAGGATCCTGATGCGATCCACGTGCCGTCAGCCGACAAGGCCACCGATGAGACCGGACGGCTGTGGCCCGCGAGCGTTTGCTCGCATTTCCCTTCGACTACATCCCAAATCTTGATAGTGCAGTCTTTAGATCCTGATACAAGCCGCGCATCACCTGGTAGAAAGACTACCGACTGCACTCCGCCAACATGGCCTTGGAGGGTTTGCACGCACATCCCCGTGGTTCTATTCCAGATCTTGATTGTGTCATCCTCTGATCCTGATGCGATCCGCGTGCCGTCTGCCGAGAAGGCCACCGACAGGACCGAACCGCTGTGGCCCTCGAGCGTCTGCTCGCACGCATCCCAATCCGGCTGCATGGGCGACAGCGACGTAACCCAGTTTGGCATATCGTGGTTGAAGTGGTTTCTCACCAGGCTTTTTGTAGGGCTGAACACGAGAGCCGACGCGTACAGCTGAAGCGGAGCCATCTCTATTTCTCCGTTATGGGACAAGACAAATCGACGGGCGTCCTGGACCAGCTCCAGCAACCGCTGCGCTCCTGCGACTGGCTGTCGTAGGTGTTAGACATGGTCTCAGAGGAGAAGTAAATAAACTCACCACCAGCGCCTGGAGTTTCTGTATAGCCATGACGGCCTGCGATACGCTGCCCTGGAGACTCATGGCCTCCAGCCAGTAGAGGTACTTGTGTTGGAGGAAGGTATGAACGAGGCCGCCGTCCTGGATGTGCTCCAGTGTTGACTTGTCCGCGGGATTTGCGTCCTGGAGATGATCAACCCAGTGCATGCACGAGTACCGTGCCGGGGCCAGTGGGTCTGGGTCCGGCTGTGAAATTTCGTCGATGGAGATGCCTGGGTCGATCAGGCTGAAAATGTCACGGCGGAGAGTTTGCGACATGACCTCGATAGATCTTGCGAAGAGGGCGCGGTGTTGATGCTCGATCCCGCATGGCAAGATCTGGGGGGATGCGCTGTCTAGCAAGAAATCCTTGGCCGATTGATGAACAAAGTACAGGACGCCGTGGCGGACGGTCAGGAATGAACCGCAGGACCTGACGAGTTTCTCTAAATCAGGGAGTTTGTCGGTAAAGCGTACGAGGGACTCATTGATGGAGGATAGCTCCTGTAATGAGATGGGGCGATATACTACGGAGGCGATTGCCAAGATCTGGCGACAAAGGTTTGCATGCCTCGACCGTCCAATATGCTCCATCATTCGACTGTAGAGAGAATTGAGACCGGACGGGAGGGTGTGCAGGATATCGAGTGCCTCCCAGGCCTGGACGTCAGGAGCCGCCAGCTCTTGATACACCAAGGCCACCCAGAGGAAGGTGTTTGTCGACTTGTCAGTCAGGTGCTGATGAACAGCGTCACGAGTCGCTTCGTCGTACCCTTTCAAGCGCGCTAGTTGGTCACTCTTCTGTCGGATATAGACACGTACAGCGTCAGAGATGGCGTCCTCGTTTAGCTCGAGACGGAGGGCGACCGTCTCGGCGGTGGTCGCGAGCTTCTCCTCAATCTCGGGCCAGTTGCGGCTCGATACAATCCATCTGGCGCGGTCGGTGGCGGCCAAGCGAGTGATCAAGTCGAGAAGCTGCGGTCGACCAGCACCGCACTCGTCGAGGGCATCGACAATCAACACCGCACGACTGGTGATGGGATCGTCGAGCATGGTCGTGAGAATCTTGCACATGACTTCCCAGGCGTTGGGTCCCTCGAATCGTTGCTTGCCGCCTCCGTCGTATTCTTTCCGGACGTACGAGATGAGCGGTGGGTGCTGGCGGACGAGGGTGTAGATCAGACCACGGACCACAGCCGTAGCGGTATTCATCTTCTGCTCTGTCGCCTGGCAGAAAAAGTAGGCGAGAAGACCGGCAGGCTGCTTCTCCATCTCGTCAATGATGCCGCAGAGAAGCATCGTCTTTCCCTTGCCGGGATCGCCCCTGATCCAAAACACCCCACGGGGGTCTGTCCGCCACGCCTTGAAGGTGGGATTGTCCAGGAGCCACACGTACGAGTCTCGGAGAAGACCGCCCTTGAGGTCTTGGATGCGCGTCTTGTCGTGAAAGGGGTCTGTCTCATAGAGATCGTCTAAGCATTGTTTGTCCTCCTTGACTTGGTAGATGTGCTCTTGTCGCTTGGTCTGATCTTGGATGGCGGAGGTGATGCTCTGGAGCTCGGAAAACTGACGTTCTGCTGCGCTGGCAATGTCCGTGAGGTGAGATCGAACCTGCTGGGAGGTGTACTGCTCCGAGTCCTTCCAGACGGCAGCCTCGGTTTGCTTAATGTCATCAATCTGGCCGCCCCAGTCGTCCAATATGATCAGGTCCCTGAACAAGACGGCAAGTCGCTTCCGATTGTACAGACAGACGCTCTTCATCTGGTATAGGAGGAGTTTCTTGTAGAGCCGTACAATGTGCGTCTCGAGCTGGTCTTGCAATCCGATAAAGGCGGATCCGACGCGCTCATCGAGAAGCAGCTCCGCCAGGTTCCAGTACCATTCCATCCTCGACACAACGTACGAAAGGCCCGACCGATTGAGGCCGGGTTCACTCAGGGGGTTGGAGAGCACCTAGCGTTCAATGTCAGCGTGCGACACGAAGCGGGAAGACTGGAGACAGACCTCGAGGGCGAAGCTGACGCCGACCCAGGCGATGGCAGCTTCTGGGGAGGCCTGGACCACCTTGCCCACCAGCCCTCTCACGACGTTGACAGTCTGGATGGCGCTGTTCACCTGCTCCTTCACAGCGGCTTCCCTGGCCGTCTTCTGCAGTCCGACCTCGACGAGGCGCTGCATGCGGTGCCACCTCGGCTGGGGCTCAGTATCTTCCGCCGTCGGCAGCTCAAGCGACAAGAATTTCTCATAGGCCTCAACAATTTTGGGCTCATCTGCCTGAAGCTCATTGTACGCACTGTTCCACAGCCTTGCCCGGAGGCCTGTCGGAGAAGGCTGGGTGGCGACGGTAGGCGGTAGGTTTGCTGGCGAAGGGGCGCGCTGGGCAGACGTCGAGCGCTCACTGCGGCCAAGCATCTGCCGCCAACGAGACGGCATGATGTTTGCTGGTCACGATGACAACGAGGAGGAAGAGTGTAGGAGGGCAGTGCAAAACACAATGACCTCACGAGAAGTCGTCTACATGGCGCGCCATAGTGTGCTGGTGAGGGGAGGCGCAGCTGGCCTGCTGGGGTCCCTGGAGCTGCAGGTTGACAGACGAATAATAACAAGTTGGCAACACATACTCGTGCCACGCGCCCACCTCTTAGGGGGTGGGCGCGTGGCACGAGTAGCATCAGGCTGCTGCGTCCAGGCTGTTCAGCCAGATGGGATTGATCGTTGGTTAGAGTAGCATAGGGTAGGCGGCTTTACTCGACTTGGATAGCGGCTCAGCACGCCCTCGACTCGCTAACCGGCCACTCACAGCCAAACGACACGCTACTCGCAGGCTGGATAACTATCCCAGATCCTCATGATTGTCCCAGAGCAACGTTTCGTCGATCCCTGACCTCTTAGCCTTGATAAAACATCAGCGCCAGCGCTTATCAGCACAGTACAACAAGAGGCCCGCCCATCGTACGTACTGCCCTACAATATGAGTAGTAAGGGGCTGATTAGTAATTGAGTCGGTGGCGACGAGCGAATAGTATGATTATTTCTACAAAGCCATTCGATTATAAGCTATCGTAGTATCTCCAATGAGCACATACGACCATACCCAGTGGAAAATACGGGATCCCGTCCGCTCTCCCATAGTCAAGCCGCTGAGGGGCGGGTTACCTGTTGGCATCCCAAAAATCACGTGACCGTAAAATACGGTCGCTGCGCCCAACGGCCCCAGGTGGGACAACGCCCTTGGGCGAGACTTCGGCCATAACTGACTGTTAGGCGGCCACAACTTAACCATGCCTTCATGAAAGCATTTCCAGACAGACAGATGCTGTTGCCGGCGGAGCCATGCCAGGGCCCAGGCTCTGGCTGCTGCCTTAAAGTCGGGCAGCGGCACTTTTGTCGTCTTCGTCCACTTCCTTCATGTGTACAGACATCCATCCATTCCTGAGTCCATCCACATTACGATCAGTATGCCAAGTAAACGCTCAAACAGGCTCTCCAAGATCGATGCATTCGAGGAGGCGAGGCAGGAGACGGAACCGTGGTCCACGGAACCGACTCGGAAGTTATCGGGGTCGGGAAGGCGTTCTGAGAGACGGGCGGAGGCGGCAGATTTGGTATCAGGCGGCGTATCCTCTCCCACTAGCGAAGCTATGGTCACCTCAGCCTGGAGGCCCACGAGGGGCTCGGAGGAGTGTCTACGGTAGGTAGCGCTGTCTTTACCGCTTCGTCTCGCTCCTTTTTGGCCTCGTAAACATCGTTATGGGCTTGCTTCAATTGCCTCTCGAGGGAGATTATCTGACCCCTAAGGTGGGCGTTTTCACGCTGGGCGCTCGCGATCTGCATTTCCAGCTCCACCACTCTCTGGGTCGACTCTTCGTTCGCTTCGGTCGCGCTGTTCATCCATTTATAGGCTGCTGCCATATATGCCAGCCATCGAGCGGGTTCTCTTTCGAAGTCTTGCTGGAATTCCTCCTTGCTCTTAGGGAGGAACGGGATTTCGAGGCGGGTCATTGTCACGTTCGGCGTCCAATAGGTTAGAGCTACGTAATGTCACGGGCGTCTCTCTGAACAGGTGAACGGGGAACGCATTCGGATCTACTGCTACGGATAGGCACTCTCCTCGCAGGACTGGCTCTATTGACAAGACATAGCTCGGAGAGTTATAACAGAACTAGCTACGTGTCTAGCTAGAAAAAGGAGATACGCGCAGGTCCGTGCGTGCATCCACACGTGACTAGTATAGGGTAGCCTAGTACGATACGCAGCTAAATAGTCGAGCTGTGACACTAAGCGTTATGGGCACGGAACCAGCGCGATTGTGATTCGCGCCCGACTTCATACAGCAGGCCTCGAGGGCATAAGATAGTCATATTACTCATCGTGCTGCAAGCTGCTAGTGACTGTTTAAGATGCTAAGTTTCAAGTCATCAGCCTCGCCAACTATCCCACGTAACAGCAGATCCTTATACCCGAGCCCGAGCCTTATCCTTGTCTCGGGGCGTATCGTTTAACCCGTTGCCCTAATCCCCACACCCAACGGAGCTGGGCTGCCGCAAGGCCCGTCGCGTGACAATGCTTCTCAAGCAGAAGACAACAACAATAGTATCAACACGACTTCATGTTGCTGTTTCCACAAGACCCCTGTAAGAACCAATGCAATGGACATGTGCGCAGCTCCACCCGAGAATGAGTCGCAGCTAGTGCAGTATAAAGGTGCTCCCCGAATCACCGTACCACCAGCAGATGACTCGCCGCTCTCGTACCGAGAGGACACTCTTGTGAGTGTATTCAACGACATATACAATCACTTTATAAACCTCTTCTACATTCCTCCCGAGCGCGTCGTTTTCCCCCCTGCAGAAACGGGACGTCATCTCCTCGATGTGGCGTATCTAAGAGATAAGCTACGTTTGGCGCCTCGCGTTATTTCACTGCTCGAGCGATTACCGTATGTTGACGAAATCCATCATGGCGGCACTATTTGGTATCCGAGTGCGCGGATGGTCGACTACCGCGATAACAAGAAGGCGCTCGAGGCAAGGGATCCTAGTTCAATAAGTTGGAAAACAACGGATGCCTTGGGAGCCGAGCGTTCTTCTGGGCCCAATGTTGAATACATGAGATCGATGGACATTGCGTTGGCTTTCCCCGACAATGGCTTTCAGCACATTATCTTAGATACGGAAGCCAGTAAGTCTTGCCATGGCTATATATCTATACGCTAATAAGAGAAAAAGATAGTATTCGCTTGATGGCGGACTGGTGCGAGCTGCCCTCATTACTAAGCGAAGGGCCTTTGGAAGTTCCAGAGCACGTAGATCACTACCGCAACCATGCTGGATACCATGCCCCAAGCCTTCTGCGGACTTATTACGAAGATCTATTATCCCTTGAAATATACCCGTTTCGTTTGGATGACATGATTGGTACATACAATGTTAGTGGTCTGAGTGCGGGAGCTCTTGAATTACAGCTAATGTTGCCCAGGAACCACAAACTTTCATTACTGTGAACATCCTTCGTCAATATTTCGGCTATCCTAATAACTTTCAAAGAGAAGCTTGGGCAAAAGTTGTTGACCAAGTCGAAGACAAAGCTTGGAAGGTCTCGGAAAAGCTTGCCGCTGCTCGGGATCATAATCGACAGGTCGTTGAAGATGAGGAGACATGGATGGAGTACAGCGAGGACCAGATGCTGCAAGCTACGCAGGAGGTTATTGCGATACTGGGGCTCACCAGATCACACCTAACGTAGCCTGTTTTAGTTGATATCTTAGCGTTTGCTCATCTACTGTGCTAATCATGATGCCGATGCTGATGCTGGTGCCTCCTAGCATGTCCGTGTCTCCTGTGCCTGACCGTTGGGTGGTCTGTGACCGCAGCGGCGAGAACCGCATCAGTGGTTATTCTGGTCTTGGGTGATACAAGAGCACTATGACCACCGAGTAAGGCCGCAGAAGCTTGCGGTGTACCGGTGGCTTCCCGATCAATCGCCTTGTGCATTGTCTCCATGGATATGGAGCCTTGTGTGGTGCTGGTAGTAGCGTGAGCAGGTGCTGGCTCCCAGTTTCCGTGCAGACCAGCTTCGGCATATTCTTTTGCACAACCTTGACTCTCGCACTCCACTAGCCCCAACTTGAGTAGCTCTTCTTCGGTTGCCGGTCGCGAGCTGTTGCGATCTTCCATCACCACAGAACCTGGCTCGATAAGGAGCAGGTAGAGCCCGTCGTCGTCGTCATCGCCAGCTTGATCTTCGTTACTGTCAACTTGGTCGTCGTCGTCACGCTCCCAGTGGCCGAGTAGAACGTTTGGTATGCGATACCTGTAGTCGTACTGAGGAGCGCGGCCGCCATACCATGGATCCGCGGTCAGGAGTGCGAAGCCCACGTCAGTGAACTCTCCGGGCGCCCTGGAGAAGAAGGGCGTGCATGGGTTCTTGCTTAGATAGTCCTCAACAGGCTCCTCATCCCACGCAGGGTCCCAGTCTGCAAACTCCACTGTAGCAACGACCTGTGTCATGGAGGAGATGACCTGCTTCGTACAGGTGAGTTTGTCCTCGTCAATCATCTTTTCAGTTGTGTGAAACTCTATTTCTTCAGGACAGATACCTTTGACCATCTGTCCTGCGTCGGAATTTTGCGCCTTGGGCGTACTAGTCTCGTCAGTACCATGACTTAGATAGTCGTAGGACAGGATACGCATGCTTACTAGCGGATAAGCTGCCTCTGGGGCAATGTATTGGGGAAGCCACGGAACCTGGCGAATGGGTACTCATCTGCCTCGCATTCAAGCTCTGATGCCCGATCGATATAGTCCCTCCAATTCTGCCGATGCTGGTTTTTCCACCTTTCCACCTCGTTGCTTTTCTTCTTCTTAGGCTTCTCCCAAGGACAGAGTATACAGTTCTCGCAAGGACCCTCACGGTCATCGCGATCCCATAGAGCGGCTGCTGCTGACTTGTAGTGGTGGCAGGCGATCGGATTTTTCTGTGCGTCGCACGTCATTGTGGATGTAGTGGAAGTCATGGAGGTTGTGGTGACGGTCTCAGTCGCCTCGCAGATTCTGTCATCCCAGCCGTCGTTGTCGTAGTAGAAGCCCGTCTCGTCGACATAGCCTCCCACCAGCCAATTCATGTCCACCGCGCCAACGGGGTCGCCGCGCTTGTGTAAGCCAAGACGATGACTCTCACAGACCGCCTCGCTGCCAATTATATTGTCATTCTCGGTCGATAACTCGGCGCCTCCCGCCTGTGCCATCCTTAGTGCTATTTGCATGACGACGTTCATTGGGCCGAAAGTGCCAGGGAAGCCGCCCGACAGCAAACCAGCAGCAACGTCGTAGTCGTCGCAGAACTGGGTGTCGTCTGTGATGCGGATCTCCTCGCAGCACTGCACCCATCGTCTTGTCAGCTTGGATATGCTCAGCAAAACATGACAAATTTAGTTCAAACTTACGAAAGAGGAGAATGTGTACGGAGAGCAAGTATCGGCTGTCTGGCCTCCTGACCAAGGCATATTGTTCGCGGCCAGCTGGATGCTACCCTTTGGGCAGCCGCTGCCACAAAAGGGGGGATCGCCTACCCACGCACAATTCGAAAACTCCAGGGAGTCTGGTATGCAAATGGCGCGGAGGTCGACATTTTGACGAGGCTTCTTTCGGCCAGTGCAACCCGGAGCAGGCGCGCCGAATTGAGCCCATTGACCAGCAGCTGCGCCGATTGCGCGATACCCAGCGGGACATGTCGGAAGGTTGGAGCACTCGGTCAGAATGACAGACTAAAGAAGCATCTTAGCATCTATTCAAGTGTCTGGACGAGGTATGTCATATCGACCTACCAATGCCGCTCCTCTCTGTGACTGCATTTTCTTGTTGACTTGTAGAGATATGAAAGCGCCCCCAGGGATTTTTGGATTCTTGAGTAATGTTGAGTCAGAAAGAGAAAGGTCACGCAGTGTCGGCGAGCCAGGAGCATCTAGGTCTATGGCCCAGATCATAGTGCCGACTAAGCACCGGTCGTTGGCGAATCTCTTCTTAAGCTCCAAGGTTTCTGCGTCGTCATACGACACCCTGCGTAGTCACATTAGCCCTTGTTCACTTGCGTACGCTTCGCGACACGTTCTCACCATTGGTTCCTCCACGAGATATATTTGACTCCAGCCTCCTTGTCCAACACAGGCTTCACGTCTTCGGAATCCAGGATCCGCTTGATTTCGACGTTCGATAGCACGCCCGACGTCTTCATGCAGTAACCAGGCTCAGCGCCACCAGCAAAAGGACACATAGGCTTTGCACAGCCTGGGTCGGAAAGCTCGAATGAGCGCCCATAAAATGCAAGCCCCATGACAACCTGGTCGGGTCCCACGCCAGATCGCCAGAGCAAGCTGAGCCCATGGTCGATTTCTAATCCAGTATCAGCAGTCTCCCCTTTGGCCTCGATTTCGCGTGCCAGTCACCTGTCAAGTTTGTATGCGGCTGCACAACCGCTTCAGTCCATTCGCTGTCCCCGTCCCAGGTACCGTGAATATCATAGCTCATGAGGTTGAACCAATCCACATAGGGCGCCATGCCTGCTATGTCAAAGTTCTGCAAGTACCAGTATGAAGCAGGAATAGCAACACTTATTTCCTTCCTCCCTCGCACGGCTGACTTGAGCTCTTTCACAAGGCTAACGTAGTTGGCCTTGTCCGTGGGGTGTCCGTCGCGGTCTTTGGCCACTGGATACTCCCAATCTAAATCGATTCCATCAAATCCATAGGTATCCATGAAATCAAGGGCAGACTGGATGAATGTTGCTCTCGATGCTGCTGTGCGTGCCATGTTCGACCACGGAGGCCCACTAGCGGCCCAGCCTCCGACAGCGATAAAGACCTTGAGCGAAGGGTTGGTCTGCTTTAAATTGATAACGCGGGGATATAGCGCTGCATCAAAACTGTTCATAGAAGCGATGCGATGGTCCTCCCTTATCAAAGCAAAGGCGTAGTTGATGTGTGTTAAGTGCTGGGCACTAATGTCCTCGGGAGATGATTGACAGTCGGGGCGGTTGTATGCCCAGCTTTCCCAGTAGCCAATAGTTTTTGCGTCGCTAGTACCAGACGTTTCACCACAAGACCTATGTCAGATTGTGGTTAACTTCTCAGGCTTATTTCTAGGCCAGTCTGGATCTTACGGAGACGACGGTGCTTTGCAGTTGCTCTGGCAGTTCTCGTTGCAGAACTCATCTTGAGGCGCCGTACCGCAAAATCCCCATTCTGAGCAGCAGACGTTCAACGGGCATGTCTCTTTGCCTTTGGGTGCGTATTCTGCCAAGATTTCAGTTCCCATGTCGCAAAATTGACAGAAAGACTGGCGCGTTGGAATATGAACTCACTGCCACACTCTGCCACGGCGTCACATGTGTCTACACAAGTTGTTTCACAGAAGTCTGGACCGTAACCGCAATAACCGTTCTTGTTGCAGCAGCCAGATGTACAAGGAGACGACTTGGAGCAACCCTCTGCCACCTGCAGGGCTTGCAAGAGTAGGCCATCGCTATTAGCAGCCGCAGACAAGGTGGCATGGGCAGTAAAGAATACCGCAAGGTGCAATATTGCCGTCCACGACCGCATGATGAGCGTTAAGTCTGCCAGAGTGGTTGCTTAGAGAACAGTTTTGCCTTAATCAAAGAGCAGTTTTCTACTACATATACTCATTCAACAGCACGGCAGAAACCATGGCCTTGTTCCCATCAACTATTCCACGGCTCGGCTCCTGAGTATGCAGGAAACATGCAGGTACCTGGACGCCAAGACCAGACTACAGTATCTCGGATGTGAGCAAGGAGCCTCCGCGGCTGCAGATATTGTGGTCCCCGTAGCGGGACTGTATTCAACGTTCGAATGGCTGTCCTGCATTGAGATTAAATCCGTCCAATTATGCTGTTGGTTCTTGTTCTTGGCCCTGTTATATGAACGCCGCAAAGAATTTGCAGCTCAACAAGTGGACCAGCCCATGCGCCAACTTCAGCATCGATAATCATTAAGCAGTGACTGGAGCCGAGCAGACGTCGATAATCTCTCTCGCCGCAGGCGGTCTGGCTCGAGCGACTAGGCCTTACAGTAACGATTACAGCCAAGATTCAAGTTCGTCCTATGTAGCAGCAAAGCCGCACAGCTTTGGACATCGCTGCAAACCACTTTGTAGCACGTGCTCATGCTCAGCTTCAACCGCGTGTGCATAATCTTGTGCTTTCGACAGAATCCTGCAGCACTTGGCTGCATGTGCTTTGCTTTCACGTTGGCTGCAGCTTTGCGCACGCGCATTTCAGCTCATGCGATATTCATTTCAGATGCAGCAAATAAAATTCAACGGCTCTGTTCTAAGTGGGAGATTACATGCGTGCTTCGCATATCGGGTGCGTCTGGCTCATTTACCAGATAGTGGTCACCGTATTCATGTTAGCTTGGTCGGTGTAGGGTGATGAAGAAGCCGAAGGTAACAGACTGCAAAGAACTCTGCCAGCCGTACTGTCTACACTACTTTGCAATCCATCGAATTCTTTTTCCTCAATCTCTTCATCGTCCAGTCGCGTTCTGACGCTTTGCAAAATGTCGCATGCATTGATCAGCCACACAGCCCTGCGGGCACTGATTCTAACCCTCATTTACGTCCAGCTACCATTCGCGTCATCTTTAAAAATCTTCCCCGGCGACATCGAAGTCATATTCGCCAACACGAAGCTCTCTGATGCATGCAAAGTTGCTCTGAACCGAGACGTGCGCTGCCCTATCAAGGTCCGTGGCCTCAGCTATCCTGATCACGCACTTGGTATGAAAATCGAATGGTATGTCTGAAGCTCATTAACAACGGCGCAGAGTGGACAGTACCGGAGTTAACGACCTTATGTGGCGCGACATGTCGACAAGACGTAACAGCTTGGGCAGATGGCTTGAAGGCTTCGTGTCAAAGCGAATTGCTTGAATATCAGCATGCAAAAGTTTCCCTGGCGGAATTTGGAGAGATGATGGATTTCCGAGCCGGGCACCTGTGTATACGAGAAGGCGGAGCAAGCGGCGAGTTCTGTGTTCTCGCTCCCCGAAAGTAAGCGCTCATCACCACTGCGCCTATTTTGGCATAGAATGCAACGTTTTGACCATTTGTTGTCTAGCTGGGACGTCAAAGCTCTTGAAAGCGCTAACCAGGCAACCTGGCCCCAGCATACGAGCAAGTGCCTCCTGGACGAGGATGGCACTTGTACCACACCTGAAGTGGACGAGTTTGACGAGCCTTCCAGCGTCGGTCCGCCAGATGGTGCATTCCTAACAAACGATGTTGCAGCGCTGGACTTTTACAGAAATCGAAGCCAAGCTCTCGAAGATGCAAGACGCTCAAGCCTCGGTTGGAATAAGGCACTGTACTTGGACGAGTTTCCACTAGAGATCCAGTGCAAACGCTGTTTCTGGTGAGTTGACGATTAATCTGGAAACGTACCAAATTCCTAATACTATGCCTCCAGGAGACCACTAGCCCTCGCTCATCAGAGCAAATGGGGTCGTCAAATCTGGGAGTACGTAACCGACCACCAAGGGAGCCATCCAGCCGAAGCTGACAGTCCAAAGCGAATTATCAGAAGCCATCTGGAATAACATTGTAAAAAACTGCAAGCTGACTGGCGGAAATGCTGTGGTAAAACCGTATCGAAATTTGACTACTGAGTACGAGTAAGCACCTTTCTGGCAACTTCTCCCGCTTTTGCCTTAAAATCCGTATTGTTATAGGCCTTATAGGCCGTGAAACGAGCCCTATTGTTAACGATATAGCTTGTAGAGCCTGTATCGTATAGAAGGGTATCTCGTTGCTTAGGGGCTCGATTCGGGAACTTAGGGCCTTTATTAGCCCTAGAGGGGACCCGAAAGCCTAGCTCTTGTGAGCTAATAGGCTCGTAGGGCTCTTCGTCTTCGCTAGAAGAGCCTATAACTTTAGGGAAGTTCCCTGTAAATAGGTCGTAAGCCCTTGTAAGGAATAAAGCCTTAGAGCCCTTTGGCTCCTTATTAGGCTTATTCTCTTCCCCTTTAGGCTGTTTCGGGGAGGTAGAGCCCCTATTAGGGCTCTAAGAGTCCGACCGATTCGGGCTCTTTTTAGGCTTCTTAGAGCCTTGTTTTTAATCCTTTTGGGCGTTATTAGCCCTATAATTAGTGGCTTTAGCTACTAAAGACGTAGTATCGCGCTATTCCTCTAGAAGGTCTGCTATAAGGAACTGAAGGTTTAGGGGACCTAGGGGACCCCCTAGGGCCTTATTAACCCTAATATTGAACCTTTAGCGCTCTGCCTACTGTGGAAAGACCCCTTTTAGGGCTTTAAGGTACTAATTAGCCTGATCGATAGGCGTAATAATAATATTAGCGAGAGCTAGCCTCGCTAAGAGGTTATTAAAATTAGCGTTAAAGGCCTCTAAAGACCCTTGATAGCCCTTAAAATTTAGGCTATGAAATTCAGAGTATAGGTGCCCCCTCTGAATCTTAGTACTGTAGGAGTATTGCTTAGTGAGTAATTTATAGGCCTCCATAGGGTCCGACTGCCACGTTATAGCGGCTTTAGGTCCCTTAGTGTAGCTATCCCTTAGGAGCATAAGGATAATAGCTTGATCAGGATCTGATAGACCCTGTGCTATAGAAGGGTCTTTTGTAAATTGGGGTATTCCGAGTGCCCTGAATTGGAGTGCTAGGGCCTGCCTCTACTGATCGAAATTCGAAGGCCCTTGTAATTTAGAGCCCTTAGGGAATGAATAGACCCGTTTAGTTAGGTCTTTGATTGTAGGGTTATTGAACGTTGTTGCCGGTGTTTTAGGGGTCGTAGGGCCTTGAGTGCCCTGTGCGATAGGGCCTTGAGTGCCCTGTGCGATAGGGCCTTGAGTGCCCTGTGTAATAGGGCCTTGGGTGACTGAGGGGCCCTGAGGCGTAGCGCCTTGGATGCCCTGAGAGGTCGATCCTTTAGGGGCTCTAGGCGCTATAGTCGCTGTTGTTGAAGGGCCCTGAAGCCTATTAACGGCCTTTATTAGGGCTGATATGTGGTGTTTAACGGAGGCTTGGAGCCCTGAAAAGCCCTGCTGTAATTGGCTGATTGACGCGTGTTGTGCCCTGAGTTGTTGTTCGATCTGTTCGGCCGTGGGCGGTGTAGGGTAGGTCGGATCAGAGGTGTAAGATATGGTCGAGTCTTGAGGGAAGGGCTGTGCCTGGCCTTGGCCGGCAGGGCCCTAATCTTCCGTGTGTGAAGACATAGCCTATAGGGTAGGCTAAAGGCAGGTGCTTTCCTTAATAAGGAGGGTGCTGCCGTGGGAAGGACTGCTCTAGGGTAGGTAGGTCCTTGTCTCGAGGTCTTAGTAAGAAATCGAGGAATAAGGTTACTTTCTAGGTAGTACCTTAGAAGGAAGTCGCGTGACCTTATAGGGTGGGTAAATCGAAGTTCGATAAACCTAGCGTTCTTCTGTGTAGTCGAGTCGATTAGTAATCGAGTGACTAAAAGTGCCGAAAAGAGCTTAATAAGCTCTAATAACCGGGGAAAAAGTTTTTCCGTAGATCGATTCGTCGGATTAGTAATCCGGGCTTATAACCTATTAAAGAGTAATACTCTTCTAGGCGTAGGGTAAGTAAATCGCGATAATCCGGGAATCCCTTTAGTAAAGGAAGAAAGCGACCGATTTAGCAATCTTCTCTTTAGGGTAGGCAAGATATAGGTGAAGAACTTAGTGAATGAATGACTTGATTCAGAACTATCTAGTAGTGAACGAAGGCCTATATTTATAGGCGTGAGGGCGCTGTAATGCCCTGTAAAAGAGTGGGTCAAACCGAACCTAGTGGAAGGTTATAGAAGGTTTAATTTATAATAGCGAGTGTGGCAGTGCTAGCCTTCGAATATTATAGAAGGCAATAGAAGTACTATATTTGTAAGCACTATGGACCCCTATAATAGGTCTAGAATAGATCCCTATAAGGGTTCTGTGAGAGGGCCTCGTAAGGCACCTAATTAGGGGATTAGTCCCCTATTTTCAATAAGTAATAAACTCCGTAGTCTAGTATATATCCTTCGAAATACTTATATATAATATACTATATATATACTTTTCCTTACGGAATAAAGTATTCCCGTGCCTCGATCTTATATCGTAAGCGTAATATTTCTTTCGCTTTATTATATTTTTCGCGGTTCGTCTTACCTTAGCTATTCTAGTTTCGATCCGCTTATTCGGTAGGGTTAAATAATAATCTTATACCGTTAGGGTATTTCTCGTATCCCTTATAACCTTACCCATAACTTAAGGCGTATTCTTTACTTTTAATTATTTTAATACTAAGTAGTGTCTTTATTACTATCTCGTAGCGTCGGAGTTCTTTTATCTCTTTTTATTCCCTAGCTCTATACTAGTCGAATACCTTTACCTTAGCGTATCGTAAATAGTCTACTTACTAATATCTACGCTATATCTTTTAATCCTATACGTATACTTCGGGGTATTTTACTAACTATCTTAGTATTACGCACCCTATATTAGGTTCTATGTATATATACTCGTAGAACTCTACTTTATATTTATTAAAGAGTAATACTCTTCTAGGCGCAGGGTAAGTGAATCGCGATAATCTGGGAATCCCTTTAGTAAAGGAAGAAAGCGACCAATTTAGTAATCTTCTCTTTAGGGTAGGTAAGATATAGGTAAAGAACTTAGTGAATAAATAACTTAATTTAGAACTATCTAGTAGTGAACGAAGGCCTATATTTATAGGCGTGAGGACGGTATAATACCTTGTAAAAGAGTGGGTTAAACCGAACCTAGTAGAAGGTTATAGAAGGTTTAATTTATAATAGCGAGTATAGTAATGCTAGCCTTCGAATTTTATAGAAGGCAATAGAAGTACTATATTTATAAGCACTATAGACCCCTATAATAAGTCTAGAATAAATCCCTATAAGGGTTCTATAAGAGGGCCTCGTAAGGCACCTAATTAAGGGATTAATCCCTTATTTTTAATAATATTTTTCGTATAGGTTGTTAATAACGCGGGTAGCTAGTCCCTTAATTAAGTAAACTTAATATCTTCCTTTATTAAGTGCATAGACCTTATAGAAGTAATATATATAAGAGACCTATAAAAGTTCGTAGAATTTTAGTGCGTTTAAGTATATATATAGGTTATCTCCTAGGACTATCCTTCGGTCTATTACCTAATTAATTCCTTTATTTAGTATCTAAGCGGGGATAACTATCTAGAGATCTTCCCCTTACGGTAGAGGGTCGTACCGATCTATCGCTACTTTTATTTATTCTTATAGGGTTACTCGTCCGTATAATAAGTTAGTTTCGAGGATTTATTTCTTTTATAAGAGCTCTTCGTTACTATCTATAGAGTCGGTATCGGATAATTCTTCGTTATCTAGGTATTACTCTAGTCCTATAGTAACTTTATATATTATAGCTAGAACGCGAGACCCGCGTAATACCTTAGGGAACTATCTTAAGTTTTCCTTACTATCTCGATAAGTTAGGTAAATATCGTTATAGTATCCTAACTAATATAATACTTCGTAGGGTATTAGTTACTTCTTTATTTCTTCTCCGGCCTTCTTTATCTCTTCGAGGAACTTCTATCGTTCTTTCTCCTTAAAGGTTACTATATTTTATAGGAGGCTAATATTATATCCGGACCTAGTTATATTTAGCTATTTATACTTACCTTTAGGGACTAGTTTCTAGCCCTAGCTTTATTCTTTCTTTAGGGAATAGTATTCGCGCGTAAAGTATCCCTTCTTACCGTAATTATAATAAGTAAGGTTCTTTTTATCTATCGCGGCGAGCTTTCGTTCTATCGCGTTAAGATCTATTAGTCCCGTATAGGTTCCGCCGAGAGCCGTGCTTTAGTAAAATTAAGGTCGTCCTATATTAAGATAGATTCGGTTTTTATTATTACGATCGCGGTTTAAGGTATTAATAAAGTATTACCCTTTTTTCTTATATTATTATTTAAATTATCGGTTATTGATCTTAACGGCTATCGCGATATAACTCGCGAGGGTAGCGGGTCGATCTTCCTTATATAGCTCGTCCTTAACCTCGTCCTTAAGACCTCGGTAAAAAAAGGCTATCTTATCTCTTTTATTCTTAATAATCCTAGACGCGATTTAGGTAAATAAGGCGCTATAGTCCGAGGCTAACCCCTTCTACCTTAGCGCCTTTAGTTAGTTCTCCGCTAAGCGTTATTTATCGATAGTCCCGAAGGTTGTTTTTAGTATCTCTTTAAAGTTATTATAGTACGCGAAGATATCCTTCGTTTCTTATTTTCGGTATTAGTAAGTATTAGTTACGAAGTCCTTAAGGGTAGGTTCGAACTATATAAGAGTAGCTCTTAATAGATATCCTACTACGTAATATACTTTATTTTCTTCCGTACGAAGGATAGATAAAAAGTACTATTAGTAAGCTCTAACCTAAGTTAGGAATCCTTAAAGGTCCTTAGTTATATTATTAAATAGTCTTAGTTAGCGTGGCTTTATAATCTCTCCTAGGTCCTTACCGGTAGCCTATCGAATAGTATTATTACTTACGCTATTTATCTCGTTTCTTAGCTAGGCGGTGTTACGACCTAATATGCGGCCTTCACGTGCTCCCAGGCATACCCCGCTTTTTCCCTCCATTCACAACACGATCATTACTTACACAAATGATCGCTCCCGCGATTATTACGATTATCACGAATCGCTACGAACAAATAGATAGATTATTGTCCAGGATAATAATTACCTTAGTATATAGGAAGCCTAGCTTCACCATAGTCAGTCTCTACCAGCTCCTTAGCTATTAATATAATTATCTACGCAAGATCTACTATCTCGTATATAGACTATAACACGACCGCTTAAGTCAACGATATCCTAGTATACTTAGTTTATAAACCGACCTTAGATCTACCTACCCTATAGCTAGTCTAACCTAACCGTTATACATTAATAGCTC